GCAGAACGAAAGCCGGCTCCAGGAGGACACGAGCAGGGTGGCAGTTGGCAGTGCAGAAACGCAGGAAAAGTCAAGGGTTGGAGCTAGTTTCTAGTCGGGTCAGAAAGTGACGTTTGGCAGTCTGGGATACGGGCCGCGGGCCCAATCCGTCCTTCACTGCCATGGTGTTTAGCCCTGCGACACGGTCCTTGGACTCCAGCTTGGACCGAAGCGGTGCAGAACGAAAGCCGGCTCCAGGAGGACACGAGCAGGGTGGCAGTTGGCAGTGCAGAAACGCAGGAAAAGTCAAGGTTGGGAGCTAGTTTCTAGTCGGTTCAGAAAGTGACGTTTGGCAGTCTGGGATACGGGCCGCGGGCCCAATCCGTCCTTCACTGCCATGGTGTTTTAGCCCTGCGACACGGTCCTTGGACTCCAGCTTGGACCGAAGCGGTGCAGAACGAAAGCCGGCTCCAGGAGGACGCGAGCAGGGTGGCAGTTGGCAATGCAGAAACGCAGGAAAAGTCAAGGTTTGGAGCTAGTTTCTAGTCGGTTCAGAAAGTGACGTTTGGCAGTCTGGGCTCCAGGAGGACACGAGCAGGGTGGCAGTTGGCAGTGCAGAAACGCAGGAAAAGTCAAGGTTTGGAGCTAGTTTCTAGTCGGTTCAGAAAGTGACGTCTGGCAGTCTGGGATACGGGCCGCGGGCCCAATCCGTCCTTCACTGCCATGGTGTTTTAGCCCTGCGACACGGTCCTTGGACTCCAGCTTGGACCGAAGCGGTGCAGAACGAAAGCCGGCGCCAAGAGGACACGAGCAGGGTGGCAAGTTGGCAGTGCAGAAACGCAGGTAAAGTCAAGGTTTGGAGCTAGTTTCTAGTCGGTTCAGAAAGTAACGTTTGGCACTCTGGGCTACGGGCCGCAGAACGAAAGCCGGTTCCAGGAGGACACGAGCAGGGTGGCAGTTGGCAATGCAGAAACGCAGGAAAAGTCAAGGTTTGGAGCTAGTTTCTAGTCGGTTCAGAAAGTGACGTTTGGCAGTCTGGGATACGGGCCGCGGGCCCAATCCGTCCTTCACTGCCATGGTGTTTCAGCCCTGCGACACGGTCCTTGGACTCCAGCTTGGACCGAAGTGGTGCAGAACGAAAGGCGGCTCCAGGAGGACACGAGCAGGGTGGCAGTTGGCAGTGCAGAAACGCAGGAAAAGTCAAGGTTTGGAGCTAGTTTCTAGTCGTTCAACATTTGGCAGTCTGGGGTCCTTCACTGCCATGGTGTTTTAGCCCTGCGACACGGTCCTTGGACTCCAGCTTGGACCGAAGCGGTGCAGAACGAAAGCCGGCTCCAGGAGGACACGAGCAGGGTGGCAGTTGGCAGTGCAGAAACATAGGAAAAGTCAAGGTTTGGAGCTAGTTTCTAGTCGGTTCAGAAAGTGACGTTTGGCAGTCTGGGATACGGGCCGCGGCCCAATCCGTCCTTCACTGCCATGGTGTTTTAGCCCTGCGACACGGTCCTTGGACTCCAGCTTGGACCGAAGCGGTGCAGAACGAAAGCCGGCTCCAGGAGGGTGGCAGTTGGCAGTGCAGAAACGCAGGAAAAGTCAAGGTTTGGAGCTAGTTCCTAGTCGGTTCAGAAAGTGACGTTTGGCAGTCTGGGATACGGGCCGCGGGCCCAATCCGTCCTTCACTGCCACGGTCCTTGGACTCCAGCTTGGACCGAAGCGGTGCAGAACGAAACCGGCTCCAGGAGGACACGAGCAGGGTGGCAGTTGGCAGTGCAGAAACGCAGGAAAAGTCAAGGTTTGGAGCTAGTTTCTAGTCGGTTCAGAAAGTGACGTTTGGCAGTCTGGGGTCCTTCACTGCCATGGTGTTTTTAGCCCTGCGACACGGTCCTTGGACTCCAGCTTGGACCGAAGCGGTGCAGAACGAAAGCCGGCTCCAGGAGGACACGAGCAGGGTGGCAGTTGGCAGTGCAGAAACGTAGGAAAAGTCAAGGTTTGGAGCTAGTTTCTAGTCGGTTCAGAAAGTGACGTTTGGCAGTCTGGGATACGGGCCGCGGCCCAATCCGTCCTTCACTGCCATGGTGTTTTAGCCCTGCGACACGGTCCTTGGACTCCAGCTTGGACCGAAGCGGTGCAGAACGAAAGCCGGCTCCAGGAGGACACGAGCAGGGTGGCAGTTGGCAGTGCAGTGTCGTCTCGGGTCTCTTTAGGATGCCATTTAAAGTTTCATACTGCGATTACGAACGGGGGCTTCGGGTATGGGTCTTAAGTGCTAGAGCAACCCTTTAGGTCCCCAAGACACCTGCCCAATGACGAAAGCTCCTATTTCTTGAGCCATGAAAAAGTGTCAGAACACATAGTTGTGCGTGTCATCCTGCAGGGGTCCATGCTGCTTGCATGTGCACAGTGCCAAACGCACATACAAATGGTTTGTTTAGGTCAGTTTCTGGTTTCTTTAGGGTTCATTTCATGCTTACGACACAGAGGCAGGCATGACCCTCCAGTGTCCAGGGGTCGGCGGCAGAGGGCGTAGCCCTTTAATAATATCTATATATAATATCTACTAGTTCGACTAGTACCTCCTAATGAATTCAGCTTAGAGTAGATATTTTCAGATGTGTTGCTTGGTTCTGCATTGACTTTTCCAGCGGTCTTGGAATTTGAAAAAGATCAAGTAATCCCTTCCCCGGTTGATATGAAACACCCCCAATATGGCAGTGTGTCAAAACCTTGTACCCCTGGTGAACATCAAAATAGCTGGTAAATGGATGTTCATCCCACTAAAAATGGTATTAATAGGTATTGATCTATAGCCATATCTCCAGGGAATTTATGAATTTATGATGGGCACGGCATCGCCTGCTTCCTGTCTATATGCCGCATGTGAACTGAGTGCAGGACCTGGTATGATAGGCACTGCCTCAGCCACAAAGCTGGACAAAATGTTTTATGATACCCAGAATTTCAAGAATTTAACAGAAAATGGTTCAATTGGACTTTCTTCATCTTTGTTCTGCATCATATATTGCAGAAGAACAACGATATGTCTGTTTGCCTCATTTCAAAACGTCTTTCTCTTCAGGGAGTATGGACATCCGCATTCGCACCAAGCGACTCCACTCTCCCAGGCCCAGCGTTGTTCTGTGTAAGTTGCCTCGTCAGGACGTAACGTAGAAACACGTAGAAACTGCCAAAAGTCTCAATGGAAAGGTCTGGTTGGTAGAACCATGCAGAACCCAAACCTGCACCTGGACACGTTGATGAACTTGGACTGGAAATGACTGGAATCTATGATGACTTGTGTTTGTCAAATTTTCTGGGTGCCAAACTCTCGTGAGTTCTCGCTTGCTTTCCATGGCCTGTTGATGCATGGGAAGTCTGCCTCTCTGATCAACTTGTGAGCACAGCTGCAACAGCTGTAACGGCTGTAACAGCAAGGCTCAGTAAGGCCCTAAGGCCAAGGCATCATGAAGTTTGCCCCTCTGCTCATCGAAGCTGCTCATCAAAATGGCCAGGAACAGGTTCAAAATCACAAAGTTTCCAAAGAGCACTACCTGGAATCGTCACGCGGGTCTCATGGCCAGTTCCGGGTCGCCGTTCAGCAAACTTTGACAAAAAATCTGAGTCCAAAGCAAACAGGAAGAACAAGGTGGCCAGCCTCGAACATTTCACCAACATTTTACTGAGAAATTCACCCAAATTTCACCAATGATGCACCATGTTTACCTGTTTCATTGTGATACCACAACTCCAAGCGCTGCACCAGCCGGTCGCCCTCATCCCATCATACATCACAGTGTTCCAGTTCTCACCTGGGCAGGTGGTCACAGTTGCATCTCATCTCATCTCATCATCTCATCATCTCATCACTGGCCTGTGAGAATCTGAAAGATGGTGATGAAGCTCCACAAGAACGTGTCAAAATGCGAGCGTGGAACCTCAAAAGTGGAGCTTGGAGGTTGGAAAAACTGTCGACTGATCAGGAAACACTGGTCTTTCTGAGGGTAAACTCTTTCGTTTTCATCTGTGAATGTTGATGTGTCTGAAAATGAAGGAGAGCCATGTCAATGGCAGTTGTTAGGGTCTCAATGATGAGTAGCTCTCAGTAGCATCAATTTTTGGGGTACCCATGGGTACCCTGTTTTCAGACCCATGTCGATTGCGACTTGGCATTGCCGAGGCACGCAAATGGGCTTGTCACCATCACCCATTGGACACTTTGTTCTGTAATCCTGGTGATGGATGGAACGGTGAAGCAGAAGGGAGTTCCATCCCATTCTGGACCAACTAAAACCGTCCCATACGATTTTTTTCCGCCCGCGTCTCCGTCTCGATCTTTCATGATCTTTATAGGTTCACATCCCAAAGTGCACTTCTGCAGCCCATGTCACGGAATTGCTCAAAGAGGTTTTGTTTCGCCTCATCTGTGAAGCGGCAACTAATGCCATGTTCCGCCCAGCTCTTCTTCCCAGACATTTGAACATCCACCTGCGGACTTTCTTGGCAGCTGGTGGCACTTTTCACATAATCTCCATCACCCACACGTGCAAAATCTTTCGCAAGCAGTCTGCGGCCTGCTTTGTGATTGTGGCTTCCATTTCACAGGATTCAAACCATTTAAAACCTCCAATTGTAAAGGGATGGAGTGACAAGGTACATGGTCCTCCCAAATCATCCAAATCTTGGATCCTCAGGGAAGGTTTGGAACTAGCCCGAGAAGTCTGCATGGTGTAGCGCTCAAAATAATCGAATGACCCGTTCACCATAGTCGAGATCGGCAGAGAAACACAACCCGATCTCTTTCACTAAGCAGGATGGCATAGTAACAAGTGGTGCTTGTTCTGCTGGGCTAAGGTAATGCAGCCCTCTCGTGTTTCTAGCATCACCATCCTGACGCAAGGCTTGCGGCGAACGGACAACCATGACATGAAAAAAATCAAAACAAACATACGGCACGCATCAATGTTGCAAACATGACCAGCAATTCTGGCATGAATTGTTCCCAAAATAACACTGAAATTAAGTTGGCAGAGTAAAAGGCCTAAGAAGCCTCGGAGAGAAGTTTATCGAATCTAAGCGTCAAGTCATATCATATTCACAATAAGTAGGTCTAGGTTCACATCTTCAATCCAAACCAATATAGTGGCATCAACAATTCACACTCGCCGTGCCTCTGGTGCTTCCTGCTCGTCCACATCATCCTGCGCCTCATCTTTTTCTTCTTTCACTTCTTCATCTTTGACTTCGCAAGATTGGGCCAGGTTCGCTGAGCTTGAAGTGGGGTCGGGGTTGCTCTGCCTGGCTCTCTTAGAGCTTCGCCACCTGCCATCGTCGTGTTTTCGCATGGCGCGTGCTTGGTCAGCAGTGCTTGATACTTTGATTCTGCTCAATCCTCATCTGATTCTGCTCAATCCTCATCTGGTTGTAGATTGATGTACATTGCAACTTCTGCCCAATTCCATCAATTTCATACCTGCTTATGGCATCTTATGGCATCTTATGGCGACATGAGGGCGCACAGCACTGCTTGGGCCCATTGCTACAAGGATTGCTCCTGTTTGGTCGTCACCACATCTGTATCAGACACCCTTGGTATCTCGGTTGTCATCCCATAAAAATCCGAGAAAAAAAGGCCACACATGACCACTAGCAACAAAAAACAAAGGCACCGGCATCAAATGTCCTCAAACTCAAACTTCCCTAATTTCAGACTTACATCAAGCATGCCCCTGTCAAACTTATCTCTACCAACTTCTCTGTACCAGACTTCATCTCTACCGAATACACCTCTCTTGAACCCGGCTCTTTCAAAGCAATCTCCATCAACCTTGTCTCTCAAACTTATCCGTCTCAAACTTGCCCCTCTGAAACTAAACTCTGTCAAAGTTAGCCCCATCAAACATACTTCTAGCAAACTTACATTCGTCAGATTTGCCTCTAGCAAACATGACCCTATCAAGCTTATCCTGCTCGAAGCGACCTCTCTATCGAACTTGCCTTGCCTTCTATCAAACTTGGCTCTATGAAATTTATAGAAATTGATCCCCATCAAACTTCCGTCTGCCAAACTTACATAAACTTACCCCATCAAACTGATCTATGTCAAAGTTAGCTTCGTTCAAATTCTTTCGAAATGTTCTGCAGCTGGTCCCTCATCTATCGTCATATCTCGGGCTGTCTTTGATCTGACCCCATATCTTTCTTCTATTCTTGTTTACTGGAAAAATTAACAAGTGGTTGCGATGATCATCTTTTAATTGTTGCATATCATTGCCAGTATTTATCATTGTCGCTATTTGCACCATTATTGTTGCAAATTTTCTCAACCTTCTCAATGAGGTGTGCAGATGTGTGCAGGTTATTTGTCGATTTCCTTCCAGTCATGGCCATCCTATAATCTGGAAACACTCCAGATTGGTCATGTTTAGGGCATACCATAGTTTTTGACTGGAAACACTCCAGATTGGTCATGTTTAGGGCATAATATAGTTTTTGACCCAATTTATGGTCATTACGTGTCACAACTTGAGGAAAAACTCAGCAGATCAGCCACGGTCAGACGAACAGTCCTCCGGAGCCACCAAGCTTCCATCCTCTGGGTCAAACATAAAGGTGCCACCAAAGAAGCTCTGCGCCATCAGGGCAAAAACGCAGATGATCAGGAAAAGCCTCAAGGTCATGGAAAATGCCATGCTCAATATGAGAAAAACTCACTATATGGTTAAGATGAACAGATGAACACACCAGATGTGTGTGTATATATATATATATATGTAATCAGATAAACATATTCATGTCATTTCATCAACTGAAGCATCCTCATCATGTTCTCATCAATCATTATCTGCATATTCTGAAGAGTTCTTGATATGAAAGGATTCCAAATCTTCGGAGATCCAATAGGATCCCTGCAGTGCCACAAAATCTCCCATGGACATCAACGTCTGAACGCCAGCACTCAGCAAGATCTGACAGGTCAGTGGCGTCAGATGGGGAGATGGGGAGGCAGTTTTGTATCTGCCATCTCCAAATCTGCAAAAGGACAAAGCCGATCTCACTTGAGAGCTTTCGAAACTTGACTTGTCACTTGGTGAAGTAGTTTCCAGCCTTCATACTGGGGAACTTCTTTGCCAGCTTGAAGATACGAAGCATCCGAAATCTGAGAAAGCCCACACAAAAGGACATCGGGTGAAGTGTGGCAAATCTCCGTTTCAAGGATAGCCAATTACCATCAGCTACCATCATTTACCACTGAGTCAGGCACGCTCGCAAGGCAGTGATGGCCGAACCACCGCCATCTGGCAAAGTGAGATGCGTCGAACATCACAAGTTGATTTTGGGTTGATTTTCTCCATAACTTGCAGCTGTCATCAGCGGCCCTTGTAATCAATCAGTTTTCACTCAAGAGATTGGGCAGACCACTGCAGAATTCCAGCCTGAACCAGACGCGAAATCGTTCACAAGATCGACAACGGACAACAAGACGATGAGTCCATCAAACGCCATTGCCTCGTTTGTCGAGCTGTCACATACTGTTCAGAAAGACACAGTGCTAGATAAGTTCCACGCAATGCAAAACAAGATGCTAACCAGAAGACATTCAAAATCTATCCTATCTATCCTATCTATCCTATCTGTCACTATCTGTGACTATCTCCATGTGGAATTCGACAATGGACGACTTGCTTGGCAAACCTGCTCAGTTGTCGCATTGGTTGCCAGCATGTGATTCGCACACTGCTGAGATGGAAGCATTATCCGACCAGTAGATGAGAGGGCCCACTGCCACGTGCAAAATGATACACCTCAGTCTTCTCCGTTTTTTTATGTGTTCAGATGGGAAAAACCATTGAATTTTTTGATTAAATCAATTTGAATCAATGGTCCATCTGTGAAGAGAGACGCCTGAGACTCGGGAACTTCACGACACTGCAACGCGCGTATCGTCTGAGGCTCAGACTCCAACAAGAAAACGATGTTGAAAATGAAATTCAGCACCTTGATGTTTAATCTCCATTAAACATAACAACAAACAACAAAAAGGAAAAAACAAAACAACATAAGCAATACACTAGATTATAAAATAGACTATACCAAAAACCATAACAACAAACCAAAACAAAAAACAATTTCACTTTTATAAAATGAAATTTAACTATCATTCTTCTTCAAATTCTCCTCATGCTTCAAAGTGTTGGTGTGCCTCTTGTAATTTTGAGTTTGAATTTCATAATCATCACTTCAAATTTATGGAGATAATCAACATAATTTTCATAGTCATTTACTATGAAGATTATGGGATTAATTACCACAGTCTCCTCCTATAGGGGAAGCCTCAGCCCCCAGCCAATATACTATCCCACCCCCGAGCATAAATACCAGCATACATACAAACTAGCATATCACAACAGCATCACATCTTTCTCAATCTCAAATCTCTTTAATTACCGCAATTACCATGCCCAAACCGCCCTTCATGAACTTGTTGATAACCATGTCTTCTTAACCTCAGCGCGATGTAAATGGCACAGCGATCCAAACTTTTGGGGCGAAATGGAGTGAAAAAGATTTGTGGGGTGTGCGTCCAGACTTGTTGGTGCCAGTCTTCTCAAGTTTTTGGAAGCGTTTGTCTTTGTATCAGGCATGAATGCACTGAATGTCAAGCTTGTGAAGGCTCACTGGCATGCATGCTCTATTGAAACAATGCCTACGTAAATATACTGTACATGCAAACCTTTTCAATCATAAAGGATCTGCTCAAAGCACTGTTTTGCAAGTCGCCCTGTTGGCGAAGCAAGCGTGCAGACCTTTTCAATCATAAAAGGGTCTGCCCAGAGCACTGTTTTGCGAGTCGCCCTGGTGGCGAAGCAAGCCTTCTCACGCACCTTGTCACCAAAATTGGCGAGCAACTGTGATGAAAGTGATGCCTGAAAATCATGGTCACCTCTAGCCGCAGTTTCCATTGCAAGTGTTAAACCTGGTACACTTGCAACCACCTAGCAGATTGGTGGTGCCCGTGTCGCCCTGGCTCATGTCACCAATGTCTGTGCGGTTGGTCTGCAGCTCCGGTTGGTCTGCAGCTCCAGCGCTCAATGCAAGGATGATGAGGCAAGCGACAACACGGATTTGCGCCATGAACATGCCCACGCCCCTAAGCTGAAAAGCGTGCCCGAGTGGTTTGAGCAAAAGACGCTGAAGAATGACACAAAATTCCAAGCTCAAACTGAAAGAGCTAATTTCTGTAGCGTTCCAATTGAGAATGTTAAAGGTGCTCAAATTGAAACAAATTCCAAGGTCAAGCTCTCCAAGAACATGTGGCTTCAAACCTCTGACTGGCATATTCCAAACAGCTGAGCGCCCCGACAACAGGATGAAGAAGAGATTGATGGCAAAGCCAAGGCGAGGAAGGGCAAAGGAACATAGAGTAATCCCAGCCAATGACCCAAACGTGCAAAACACAAATTCATGGGGAAAACAAATGAAGGACAAAACACAAAACCCTGAAATCAAAATAGCACATCAAATCAACCATCTCATGGTTGCATCAAGTAGGCATAAGTAAGAAAAAATGAACTTACAAGGCTTTCTAAAAACACTAAATCTTTAAAAGTTCATGCCTCATCAACAATCTTGGGTAATCATTTAATTTGTAATATTGTTGGTTCAACTTTTCTGCAATTTCTTGCACAGCATAATAACCTTTCAGCCAGTGGGAAGTTCTTTCTTTCTCTGTAATTGCTTTCTTTCTCATTATCTTTACTTTGTCTCCCACCTCTAATGTTGGGTATATTCTTTCTTTTTTTGCCTTTGATGCTACATTCAGCATTGCCCTAAATTCGTTTTTCTCTTTCCTTGCTTGATTGGGTGTCATACCTGTAGCGGAATGCCTCATTTTATCATTGTATGTCAGCATAATTTCTAAATTGTAATCAACCCATTGTATGTTTGCCTTTCCCTTTTTTTCATCAGCCTCCACTCTTTTAAAAAGCATATCTTTGTATGTGCGTATAAATCTTTCAGCAAATGCTGGGTGTCCTCTTGTCCTATGTAAAGTTATACCTTTACCTTCCACATAATCCTTAAAGTCTTCACCTTCTATTGCTCTCTCATCATCTGTATAAATCATTTTAGGCTTCTTACCCATTTTCCCTAATGCCTCTTTAGTTGCTTCAAGGACATCCTCCCCATTTTTTGTTTTGATTGGAACAACAACGGCATACTTGCTCAAAACATCAATACACACTAACCCTCCTCTGAATGTTTGTTCTTTCTCAAAATCATAATATCCCATAAAGAACAAATCTATTTGATAAGTGTAATGATTATGTGGTGCTACAAAGGAATTCATCCCTCTGGGCTTTGCTTTTATCTCAACATTTTTTCTAAAGAATTGTTCAACATCCTCTTTCTTGATTGTAGGTTCTTTCTTTTTAGCATCTTCTAATGTGGTCTTTCTTGAACCATAGCCCGCTTTATCAAAATAAATATCACTAATAATCTTCTGTTTATCACTCATTATAGAATAGATGATATAATAAGTATATATTATATCATTTATTCTTGCTCTTGTTGCTTCAGCCAGTCTTGATGTTTTTTGTCTTGTTATGTCTTGATGTTGAGCAATTCTGAACTGGTTTTCCACACCCACATATAAAATACTGTTGTCGCATATCTTTTGTCTTTTCATAATACTGGTTTTTCCTCTCCTTTATTTTCTCTGGAATGGCAAGTCTATATTATTTCTGCTTCAATAGCGCTTCTTCCTTGTTCTCATAGTAGTATTCCAGTTGCCTTTCATTTTTTTTTTCTCTTGTTTGTTCTTTGTATTCTTCTTTGGTTCGTCCTGCTATATGTTTATTTACACAGTCATTGCTTTGGATGTAAAACCCTTCTCTTTTTGTCAGTTCTTCTTTACTATTACAGGGGAAATTTTCTACTAATTCAATTTTACAATTTTCAAAACCAAACTTGTCAAATATGTAATTTACACTTCTAAAAAACGGTTTGTCTTCATAATCCAAGTGAAAAAACTTATGTTTATGGTGTATCATTCTTTTTGTTAGTGGCTCAATAGTTGAACCATAGTAGCGCTCTTGGTATGCTACATCTGTAATCATATATATTTTGCCCTTTTGATACTTATTATCACTCATTTGACCTCTTAATATCTTTTTTATAACATCATTTTGTTTTTAAAATATTTTTTATCTTATCACTAAATGCGCAATTACAAGAAACGCAATATCCAACTACATTATCTTTGAAGTGGCTTTGTTCATTATTAACCCTTTGACAGGTTATATTTGATGAAAATTTGCCATCTTCAAAATCTATCACCAATGGTTCATTACAATTTTCACACTGGGTATTCATAAGGTTCATCAAAAAAGCTACATCAACATAATCCCCATCTTCTACATCTCTACCTGCTTTCTTGTCTTGCTCAATGTAGTTCAAAACCGTTCTCTCAAAATACTGCTCTACTGTCTTTTTAGTTTTACTTTCTTCACCTTCATTATATCTGAAAAACTTAATTTTGCTAAAGTCTGTTGCCCTTGTGATACTTGTAAAAAACAATTCTTACTAACATACCATTCATTCCAATCATATATCACTATATCACCATCAACACTACAGCCCTGTTTTGAATGAGCGGTGTAGCAGTAAGCATATATGAAATGCTTTCTCAATACTTTCAGTTCTATATTTTGCTTCTCATTAGTAGCCACATTTTGTCAAACAACAATATCGCCAACAATATTTGAAATCCTAAATCTAAAATTCACATTAAATTTTGTGCCTTTATTCTTAACATACTTTCTACAGATGACTTCCTCATTTATCACATATTCTTCACTTTTATTCTTCACTTCCTCATTTATACTTATTATCACTTATTTGACATCATAAAAATCATCGTCTCAGGCGTTTTATCTCTTGTGTTATCTCTGATAGCTGAGGCACGTCTCCAACTGAAGCCTCCACAAGATGCTCGGGGTACCGATCCATCGCCAAGACCTGGGAGATGTTGGGGCTGGAAAAAGCATGGAAAAGCCAACCAAACACATCCAGAAACCAGAGAAACATCACTTTGCCATGAGAAAAAGCACCAGTTCTTCCCTCTTCCCACTCCCAAGGGCTTCTCAGGTCCCCACAACGACGTTGACCAGGATCATAATCATCACCCCAGAGTTGAAGAACGTGTTCGTGGCCTTGGAACATACAGAAATTTGCATCTTCAACATCTTCACATACAGCTTTCCATAAATGGGGGAAAAAAAAACGGTTTCCCCCCAATTATCATCCATCATTTTTATGTGTTTCGTCATGTTTACATATGTTTACTAATTACCATATTTTACCATCCAGCTATTGGGGTCCCATTTGGAAAACCCTTTGGAAACCCTGAAATCTCCTGGTGCGTGCCGGCGCACGATGGCTCGTGCCAGTCGGACTGCTTTGTAGTCGCTCGCTTCACGCCTTGGATCACAGAGATTCCAACGGGATTCCAACCACTTCGACCGAAAAAAAATGGCCGCAGAACAGATCAGTACAGATCAACACATCTCTAAAATGTCCCTTTCCATATTTTATGTTCATTCAGATTCTCAGGTTTTCAGATCTATATATATATATAATTATATATATATGTATTATTATATATATATATTATTATATATATATAGAGATTTATAGATTCTGAGATCCAAGCAAAACTTCCTCCACTTCGGTTCGATTGCGGTGCCAAAAGAGCTGGTCAAAGAGATTCTGAAAGGCCAGAAACGAATGTGACTCAGATTTCTCAGCGCAGCAGCTCACAATGGACTCAATGGACATCCTGAGGTTCAACTATAGACATAGATAGACACAGATACCAAAAATCCATGGCTGTTTTTTTCTAGACAATTTCTAGAAATGATGCATCTTTGATCATCAGCAGTTTCTCCCATGTTTTTCCAGCAGAGATTCCGAAAGTTGTGCCGCTCCTTGAAAGCACCTGAACGTCCTCTGAGGCCACCATCAGGCCGCGTGGCGTTTTTCAGGGTGATTTCCGTGGTGCCCACGTGTTGCGCTTCAGCCGCCTAGGCGGTGATAAATCTTCGTGTCCGAATGCGGCAAAAATTCACTGGATGAAATAAATGATTAGCTGATGATTAAATAAATATATATATATATGGATTCATTAATCTATATGGATTATATTAACCATATATCAACCATTAAATATATGATAATAACTGAATTTATATGTACATGTTTTACGTTGATGCTAAATATACGTCAAAAATGTGTGATTTTTGACATGTTTGCTGGATCTCATTCGGCACGTCTCAGGGCCTCTTCTCGCTCCTGTTCCAGCTGCTGCTCTCGTACCTCAGAGCAGTCCCAGTGCCACAGGACATTTGTTGCTTCGTTCCTTTCAAGAGATGTCTTGATTGAAAATACATGAAAATCATGTGAAGAATTTGTTGAATTGATTGAAAATATGGCATTAAGCGCTGTTCGCTTTGTGCTTTCAGTGTCAATCAACAGAACTTCTCGTTCTCAAGCCTGCAGACACTGGCTTAGGTTATTTCTGAGGCCCAAGCATTCAAAAACACGTCCTTGGGAGCATCAGAAGCCGTGTCCGAACTGGTTTCAACTGGAACATCCCCCCGGCACAGGACAACGGCCGGAAATGGCAGCTGTGATTTCAAGACACCTAGCGGACCTGGCAGTGTGATACTTGCCACGAGAAACGTCCAAGATGTAAAACATTGTAAAACCATGTAAAACCCATAGAAATATTGGAAACAAATAAACACCACCGATATCCCCTGGCCAAAACTGTGTCGAAAATCGTCGCGGAATTGCCATGAGGAGACGAGGCGTCAGACGAGTGAAATTCTCACAGGATGATCCCTTGAGGGGCCAAGCTCAGCCAAGCTGAGCCAAGCTTACCGGGTTCATTGGGTTCCCTATGGGGTTCCCCCGGTATGACTGTCCAAGTGTCCCAAATGATCGCTAGAATCACGTTCACCAGGAAGAATGAACCTCGACAACGACATGTGCAAATGGTGTTGCACATATGCAAATGGCGATGTCAGGAGAAAAGCGCAAAGTAGATGCGCATTCTAGTTCTAAGCAACTGGCCAATGACGATCAGGAGGAGGAAATAGATAAATCCCACGACTGTGGAATGCGCATCCTCAAGAGAGCAATTCCTCTTCCGGACATATTACGGACATATCATGGTAGATTATCATATGAATCTTGGAATCCAAGACGTGGCACTTCCGATTCACCTGCCTGCACCATTCCCATGACGTCGGACCACCCTTCCTGCGCCAGCACATCAAAAAGTTATGTCGGGTACTGTTGGATTTTACAGCTTGTACAATGCTTGCACAATGCCACACTGCTGGCGGCTTGCGCAGTCCAGAGTCACACTTTGAAAGACAACCAGAAAAGAGGCTGCCACCTGGCCATCCACAGTCTCTTCTCAGTTGCGATTCTGCTCTTTTTTTTGCACCTCTGAGGGCCAAAAAACTGAGCAGTTGACGTTGTCAAAGTGCGTGATTCCCCAGTTGCGGCTGGATCCCTGCACCTGACATACCAAGTAATATCAAGTCTGCATATCATCCAGTAATTCCAACATCAGTGATTCCATGAATATATGTTTTTCATAGAGGGCCTCGAAATTCCAATCATCCAGGTTCACTCCCTTCAATTCGGTGTTCACGACCTGGCGTCAGATCCAGGATCTGCTCAGATGGTCTCACTGAATCCACTCAGCACTTTGGCCTCAGGTCCATATTCTGCGTCGCTCGCCAATGGCGAGCCACAAACTGTGTTCACCTGCAAAATTCACGGAGACATCAACGAAAGCTTCAAATGGCATAAAAATGGCTATTTGGTATCTGAATTTGGTATCTGTTTGGTATCTGAATTTGGCAGAAATCTGTCAGAAATCAAGGCCTGGGTGCTGTCTTCCGCAGCAGAACCCAAGAGCTGCAACACCTGGAAATGCGATGCTGGTTGCTATGCGGGTTGCTAAATCCGATGCTGCAAATTGAAGCAGAAAACTCCGGAAAACTCAGGAAAACTGTCCCAACCTGCAGCTCTGACCCTGAGCCTTGGATAGCAGAGAAGTAGTCTGACCGTGTCTTACGAAATTTCCACACACAAAAGCATCATAAAGCATCCTTATGTTGCTGGGTGGGAAATCATAGCTTTCTTCAGCATTCAGCATTCGCTGTTTCCTCAGTTTTTCTAAGCACTGATACTCTTGGGCTCAAAACTCATGTCACGGGCTCGACAAACATACTCTCCGCAGAAGCGCTCCTTCGTTGCGACCCCACGGCGTCGCGGCGTTGTTGCATGGGCAACGGCGTGGCTGCACGGCGTGCAACGGCGTGCGTGCAGCGGCGTCCTGCGAGTCGTCCAACGGCCACACGTAGTAGTCCCTTCCTGACCTGGGTGAAGCGAAGCTGCGAAGCTGCGAAGCGCCAACAGCACCGACATCTGATGGGTGTGCTCTGATGATTCTCTGATTTAATGAAGGAAAACTACGGAAAACTACAAAGCTGAGTGCTGAACTCCCAATTGCTCAGGCAATTCTTGTTCGTTCGACCTTTGTTTTTCAGCAGTATTCCAAGCTGTTCCAACGTCTTCCAACACGACATAAGGTCCATCAAAGGTCCAACGTGTCCCAAATCAGGACCTGGCAATAGGTGTCAAAAACTAACGACGAGTCGATCTGCACTATGCTTGAGCTCAGTGAGACCTTAGGACATGGACATCGGGGACATCGGGGACATTTACCCAACCTGGTTATGACTAACAGTTCGCCATGGTTTTTCGATGGCCCTAATCGAAATAGATGGCTTACCGTTCTTAAAAATGGGTGGATTTTCCATAGATGGTTTACCGAACTAAAAAATGGGTCGATCTTTCCATGGCAAACTGTTAGTCATAACCAGATGGTATGTGGATCATAACGCAAGGCGATGATCATCCTACCAAGTCTTAGCACCAGCCATCGATCCGCTATTTTCGGTGAAATCCTGAGGTCCTAAAGTAGCGCTACTGGCAGTCGCGACGCGACGCGATGTGGCCAAACAGCCACAGTCGAAGCACAAACAATAAGCAGAGGGCCTAATTTGAGCGCCTAAAGAGATATACCCAACCTGGTTCTGACTAACAGTTCGCCATGGTATAGATGGCCCATAGAAATAGATGGTTTACCTATTACAAATAGTGATTGTCCATGGCTATGTTAAATAACCAGATGGTAAATATGATATAAAGAGAAGTCCCATTGGGCCCGGCTTGATGTCGAACTGGATGTCGAAGTCACAAGCGCGACTTCGCGTGTGTTTTGCAGCACTGCAAAAAAATATCCTTCTCCAAATAGCGGAGATCGTAGTCCCCTGAGAGATCCCCAATCCAACCCCACAGGATCAAGGCCGGTCGATCCAAAAGTTGCATTCCGTGTGATTGGTATGGACGATGCAACCAGAAGCATCCAGGACCATTGGAGAAAATCGACAAAGGTTTGGCTTCCATCTGATCTACCTCTGCCAATGCTTGAGCTGGTTCCCCACCATCATCACCAAGGAAAAACAGGCCTTCTCCCTCGATCATGTGATAGATCTCCCAGGGTTGGTGTCGATGTGCTGGGTAATATGTGCCGGCTGGAGCAAAGAACATGCCAAACATCGTATCTCCCTCTTCATAGAGAATGCAGTCTCGGAGCGGCTTAAGTTTTGGATCCATGCAGTTGGTATAGGCCAAGCTGGGATACCATGGACAACCTCGAAATTCAGCTGAAATCTTCCCTTGAGGAGGAGCAGCTTCGGGGACTTGTCGAATCAGATCCCGGGGCCTCAGAAACAACTTCATTTTTTTCCCAAAAAGTTGTACCACCTGATCCTCTGCCTGTAGCCACTGATGTGCTGCAACCTGCAAGGCGTGTCACTGGATCATCTGCCACCTCCTGAAGATCTCTAATCACCTGGCTCAAAAAAGGTCAAATTATGGAGCCCCACGCCCAAGTCTTGGGGGTTGCCAAGACTCAAGAAGACTCAAGAGTCTGAGTTGATTAAGAAGATATGAAGAAGATATACATATCTGAAATCATCTGAAATCCAAATAGGAAATAGAAATATGTATAATATGTGTTTTCTGAAACGGATTGAAACCGCCAATCAGTTAGTTAGACTTTCGGGCAAGTTGAGAACCAGGTCCACCCTGTTTGGGCATCCCTTATTTTCGAGCTCCGAAACGAAGCCGTCAAACTGGAGATTGACTGTTCAATCCATGTTGTGGCTGGCTCCTGCTTGTTGGTTCGCTCTCTCATTGGTCTGCATTTCCACACCCGGGCAAGATTAGTGATATGTCTCCATTTTGCTTGTTCATATCCCTGTGTACTAGATAACATGTGCTTTTTGAAATCTCAAGTTCCACACCCTTCCACACCCTTCCACACCCTTCCACGCCCTTCCACGCCCTTCCACTTTCCAATCCAAGTCAATCCAAGTCACACGTGGCACCGCTTGCACATCAACAATGCGCTCGGCCCACAAGTTCAAGAGCGGTTCTTCCCCAGATTCAAAGCCATAAATATCGCTGGGAAGATGCAAATAGACATCACCAGGCGCCACTGGAACAAATTCCAATTGCTCCAACTCGGATTTTTGAGTGAAGTATATTCCACTTCCGCGAAGTCGATGATGAAGGTCCAAAGATTCACAGGCATGTGGCAGGTAGCGCCAATGTGGGGAGGCCCAGAAAATCCCCAGGCGCAGTCCAACGTTTTCGGCTTCCAAAGCCCAGAACTCACGCAGGGGCATGGAGATCATGGATGCCCAGGAAGGAAAATTCAACGGAAGTTTCAGGTGTTCGTGGCCCCCACGGAAAACGCCGGGACCCCATGGATAGCTTTCAAACTCTTCTGGAATCAGATCACGTGGGGGGATGTGTGGCATGTGTGGCCCTGGCGTGCTGAGAGTCACCTGCTTAGAGCACAAGAGACACAACAGCCTTGCACCAAAGTCTTGAATCAAAGGATCCTTGGACTGAAGCCATTGCTGGGCAGCAGATTTGCATTCCAATGTCACCGGATCATCATAGAAATTCATGGCAAATTGCGCATTGATGGCGCGAAAAACCTAACCTCACTACGAAAAAAACATCTCACCGCGGATGAGCCCAAAATAGATCCGAAGATTTCAGCAACGGATGCTGGAAGATGCTGGAAGCAACAGATCTGGTCCATGATCCCATGGATGATCATGATGATCCAATGGATGATCCAATGGCTGAGGCTTCTGCATTGACTAACGATGCATTGTCGAAGCACCAGCCGCTGCAGTTGGCCTCGAGGTCTCACTGAGTGAACTGCACGTTGAAGCGAATGGAATGAAACCTGAAATCAGTTTCCAGCCTGTGGACTAAAGTGCAAAGGCCTGCAGTAGAGAGCAAAACCCGAAAGCTGCAAAACTTGAAATGTTTGATGATGTTTGATATGTATATATATATATATATTAAATTTCACGAGCTCCTGGGATTTTGTCATTTTTAGGGAATATTGGATATCAAGGTCAAGATGCAATATTTGGTGCAGGGTACGCGCACAAGGGTGGCACCAAAAAACTTAAGCGTCATGGTTTGCACGGGTTTGCACTGGATCAGCCTTCCATAGATGGAATTGGCCCAATTAATCGTTCAGAAAAAATGAAACGGTCGGAAACGGTCGGAAACAGTCGGAAACGGTCGGAAACATGATCAGGCCAAAACTTGTCCAACCCGATTTTTTTTTTTAAATAAGCATTTCCGCGCAACGCCGTTTTTTTTTTTGAAGGTCCAAAGGTGTCCAAGGGGAAACGGTTGGAAACAGTCGGAGATCGCACCTTCGCTCGGCAAAAAAGTAGTTGTTTTGTAGCATATGTTCATGAAACATGTTTGAAAATTGTGCAAAAACATGTCTTTTTTGCCGAGCGAAGGTGCGATCTCCGACTGTTTCCAACCGTTTCCCCTTGGACGCCTTTGGACCTTCAAAAAAAAAAACGGCGTTGCGCGGAAATGCTTATTTTTCAAAAAATGCGGGTTGGACAAGTTTTGTTTCCGACCGTTTCCGACCGTTTCATTTTTTCTGAACGATTAATTGGACCAATTCCATCTATGGAAGGCTGATCCAGTGCAAACCCGTGCAAACCATGACGCTTAAGTTTTTTGGTGCCACCCTTGTGCGCGTACACTGCACCAAATATTGCATCTTGACCTTGATATCCAATATTCCCTAAAAATCACAAATCCCAGGAGCTCGTGAAATTTAATATATATATATATAATATGTATATAGATAATATATATATAATGCATCATCTATCATATATATCATATATGTAATAATAGATATATAATATATATAATATAATATCTGTATAATATATATATATATATACGCGTGTGTATATATGCAATATCACTATATTGGCATATGTTATGTTCAACCGCTGAACGACACTAGAGTTCGAGTCACCCAGCACCAACCTTTCCACTGTGGGAATATCTAAGGTCCATGCTGCTCTGTGAGTCTGCAAGAACGGTGTAGGATGCCGCTCCAAAAATGCAGCCTCAACTCCCCAACTCAACAACTCGTCAATGACAACCATGATTGAACTCTTCAGACAGTGATGTGTGGATATCCAAAATATCCAAATATCCAAATATCGGTACAATGGCACTGCTCTCAGCATCTGGCCCAAGCACGCCAAACATAATGAGAAGAAAGATTGCAAGCAGCACCACATCCTTTTCGCTTCCATGGTTCACTTTCAAACTGTCTGTTTCAATCTGTCCCAAGTGCCCTGAATCTTCTCACTGTTCATTCAGTTATATTCACTTCACAAAGTGTCTGCTTTATATCAATGGGTTGGGTCAAACGAAAAATTACCGGAAGCCAGGGGTTTCTACCATGTTTCCACCTGTTTTCAGTCCTTTAGGCCCGGAAGCGACAGGATGATGGTGTGGAAAAGATTGCGAATTCCGGGCCTGGATTCCCCGTTGGATTGTCGTTTTTGGATTGTCGTTTTGAGATGTTTTGAGTACCCTCTGGTGAACTAACATAACTATGGAAAGATCCACCATTTTTAATGGGAAAATCCACTATTTCTATGGTCATTTTCAATAGCTTTTTGTATGTTTACCAGAGGGTTTTCAATGCAGTGCTCAGATTTTTGGCCGTTTCTCCAAAGTACCAAGACTCCAACACTGCGGTTAAAGATCGCAGTGGTCGAAGCACGCGTGCCTGGTTTTTGGCCAGAAAATACATTTGGGGATGGGTCAAAACCCTGGTACCTAATGAACCCCAAAATAGCTGGTAAATGGATGTTCATCCCACTAAAAATGTATCTATAGGTATTGACCCATACCCATTTCAAGACTCTGGTGTCGACATAGACTCTACAGGCTGTGTCTGTTTTTATGGCTTCAACATGGATAAAAATTCGTGCTATATATATATGTGCTACCCATACCCAAAAAACATCTCTACCCCCACTTTGTGGTGACCATGTCAAACACATTTTGCTCTGAGCTTCACACAGGCTTCAGAAAAGAGAGCGCCTCAAACTGCATCGCGTCTAGAAGACCCACCACCTCGGAACGTCCACATCCTCAAGATCCAAAAATATCCAACATCTGCCATCTCTCTTATGAATTTATACTATTTTATACTCATTCATCAATATCTACATGAATTTCCAGATATTTAACAGATATTTAATGATATACAAACTGTACATTTATGGCACCACATCGAGTTCTGTCACAACTTGTGGCAACAGTTTTGGTGTTTCCATGCAACGAGCGCCAGACCACAACCAGAAAATCGATCCAGTTCCATGGATCTCGAATGTAGGCTGATGGATGACCCACAAAGCCATAGGCCACAATCTCAGGTTTTTCAGGTTTTTCAGCTGCGAGGATGGCATGGGATATATGGGATAAATGGGATGGGAATAGAATTGGATGGTTTTTGGGAGACTCTGGGATAGATTGGGATAGATTGGGATAGATTGGGATAGGATAGTGACAAAAAAACTGAACAGCTGACATCTGAACTGAAGAGCTGAGCTTGTCTTGCTACAGTCAACTGTACTTAAGAACTAGTTTGAACTGCTGAGCCACTGTGCCACTGTGCCACTGTGCCACTGTGCCCTGCACCTTTATGGCACACTCCAAGGTGAAGAAGAGTGTAAAGACCTTGCCAAAAACAAAAATCCTTCAAAGGGTGGCTGGGTAGGTAGGCAGGTAGGTAGGTACAACAGGTTCACTGCACATACCTCAGCTATCCTCAGCTTACCTCCCACTTCCACTTCCAGAGGACATTGGGATCCACCAACAAGCTGTGCCACCAGGTTACGATCTCTGTCTCTCTCATCAGCACGTTGCCCCAGTGGTTTTCCTGACACCAATCCGAAGATTTCAAGTTTGACAAGGAAGATGAAAATCAAATTGCAAAATTTTGCAAAACAAGCTTGGGAACTCAAGAATCTTAGTTGGAAAGATTGTAAATCAGAAACTGTGTAATCTATTTGCAATCTTCCTGGTCGTAGTAAAAGTTCTGCACTGCCAGTGCAAAGCTGTTTGCGACCTCGGGGTAAGGGAGAGACCGCATGTGGACAGAAGCTGTTTGGAGGTTGTCACAAGTTATCAACTATGAAAAAGCTATTGCTGCGTATGCCATAGCAACCCTAGCAGCCCTATTTCTCCTAGCTGGCTCTGTCTTGACACTCCGTTTATCTAAATGGGTAGATAAGAGGCAGAAGGGGAGAGCCTAATCATCTGTTGTATCTTTGCATTTTTCAAGATATTTGAAGATATTTCAAGTCTAGTGCCCAATGTGCCCATACCCGCCATACCCGGTGCCATAGCCCTTCCAAGTTGCCAACAATGAGGAACAGGACCGTGCTTTCAAAGATCCAAGATGAGGTGATATCAATCGCCGTGCCTCGGTGCTCAAATGCTCCGGGGTTGATCACAGTTGGGTGTTTTTCAGTCATGGATGATACCCTCTGGTAAACCAACATAGCGACATAGAAAGTGGCCCAGTCGAAATAGTGATAATAGTGGATTTACATGGATTTACCCATTAATAGCATGGTGGATCTTTCCATCGTTTTTTGTATGTTTACCAGAGGGTATGGATGATTTGGACTAGGTCTCCAGCGACGGATGCACCACTCTCTTCGAATGAAGCCCAGAGACTTCCGTGCTACGGCGTTCTCCACAGTGGTCTCAGTTTTTTGCAACGAAAGACTTTCGAGCCACATTTGGAAAACAGAGACTGGCACAAGGAAAACCCAGGATCAATACTGCTTGATTAGCTTGTAGCCTCTTGTAGCCTCTTGTAGCCTCTTGTAGCTATGTGTCACACTATGCTCCTCTATGCTTCTCAGGATCTGGATATCTCGTTTTTTTCACCGATTCGTTACCTCACAAGATGTGTGAATCCTTCCGCCAGCCCTTCGGCCTTGGCTTTCTTTGTGACTCTGCGATTGAACCAAGGGCCTCGGCTCAAGCCACCGTGGCCACCGTGGCAACCATGGCTCCACTCGCCATGGTGACAGTGGCAGCTCAAGCGACTCGAGCGACTCCGAGTGTCCGACCATCGACCATGTGGGCGTTCAAGCTAATGCAACCCTGGTCGAAACATGTCGAAACATGTCGAAACAACTCACAGAGTCTCTGAGGGATCAGAATTTCTGGATCAGGAATAGTTTCTATAGCGAGTCAAAATAGTCAAATGAAAACCAATCACAGAGATGTTCAAAGAAAACATTGAAGGATATTGAAGGGCATGCGCGGCATGCGTGTGTGACTGGGACAAGGTATACACCGGAAAACGGGCACAGTGGCAAACACAAGAGAAGAAAACGCATGGACTAGAAGAAGATTCCTGAAGATTGTAAGAACGAAGGGATAACAAGCGTGCTTGAAAACGATCCGTCGATAGGATCATTTTCAGAATGAAAGTGTAAATGAAACAGTAAATGTTATGATACAAACAATGGTGAATAATTTCCTCATATTCTTTGATATCATCATTCACAATCCACCTGGTCATCTGGTTAATCACATGTAGAAACCGGCCTCAAAGGCCAGTCGCGCCAAGGAGTGTTCCACGGACGTCCAGAGGTTGTCGCCTTTGAGCCAGCATGAGCTGAAGCATGCTGAAGCCAAATCAGTGATCAATACGAAGCAATCAATTTGAGACTGAGATAACTCTTCCACAACATCTAAAGAGATGTCAGCCATGTTGCGTTTTTGTTTATCTCATTTTATCTCATTTTATCTCTTAAAAGAAACACGGTGGCGTTTGGCATTTTGGCATCTGAGCATCTCGGAGTTTTTTTGATGTTGAGGCCCATACGAAGCACCTGCAGCTGCAGGATCTCTTTCCTGGCTTCGAAAACCAAGTTCGACAAACAGCAGCCAAAGAAGCGACAAAAGAACCACGGGAAAGTCTGGGAAGGTACAAAAATCAGCAAAAATCAATGAAGTCACTGCGGAACCTGCAAATACCGCAGAAACTAGAAACGACTGCAGAAACCATGGAAAAAACATGGCAGAAACGATTGCAAAACCCCGACCAAAGCTGTAAATGTGGGAAGCCGCTCTGAGGCGCTAGCTTTACAGCTAAGGCTTCGTCCACTTGCAACCGCAACTTTTCAAGCAACACGGCCCTGAATGTGCAACAGGGTCCCCTGAAAATCAAAAAATCGAAATGGATTGGTTGAGTCCTTAATGGTCCTTGGGCTTGCCGAATATCTTCATGCATATCTTGACGTATATCGTGATGTCGTGATGTAAGTTGTTCTGAGTTGTTCTTGATATTCCCAAACCTTGAAGTCCGCTCACTTGCAAATGTTTCGCTGCTTCGCTCAGGCTGAGTTCCACTTATTTCCACTTCCCTTCCTGGGGTTCCTGGGCTTCCTGGGGTTCCTGGGTTTCCATGCGTCTCTGGTGCTGGCTCCGTCGATGCACTGACGTCTGGTGTAATCTTCATCCTCAGAGGTTGATGGGTTGATCCGTTTGTTGATCCTCAACCCATTGGCGTTGCGAAAATGTCCTGGACTAAGACCCCTGGGACCCTGGCTCCTCGCTTATGGCACTGGTGGGCTGGGTCAGCAGCTGCTTTGCAAAGTCTGGCAGATCCGTGAGAGCGGATGAGAGCGGAAGTGGACGAAAGTAGATGTACAATAGTAGAGCGAGATAATAATTTAATCATAATAATCGTAATACTGAAAATAGTTTTAAAAAAAAATGACAATAAGAATAATATATACATATATATATATACATATTATATCATATAATAATCACTCTGAGGCACTCTGACACTCTTGTTTTCTTCAGGAGTGCTACAAGGTTGCTAGTGACTGAGGCATGTACCCCGACATACCTGGAACATGGAAAATTCCAGTACTTCACCGGGGTGATCCCCCTTTGCTAGCTCCCAAATCCTATCGGATTTGGGAGCTCGGTTGGTTGCTCTTGAGGGTAAAAGCTACAAGCTTTTTCAATGATATATCATCGTTGTTCACTTCCCCCCCTGCACTATGTCATACTATGTCACTATGTTACACTCATTTTCATATAGGATATTATAGGATGTAAAGCGGATGAAAGTGGATACGACCAAAGAAGGAAACCTGTCGGCATGAACTTCTGTCAGATACGCATCTCTAAGCAATCCATCTCCAAGAAATTCCCTGCTTCGACCATGAAGAGCCAATGAGATGCCTTCATCTTCTGATTCATACTCAAAACCTCAGAATGGTTGTTTAAGCATGGAAAAAAGGCCGTTGAAGCACCAAGGAAATCAGAAAATGTGGATCCGACAAAAGCATCATGTGGTATGGTGACCCCATGGCCGATGTCAAAGGATGACATGGAAACTGCAACAGCCCATGTCATCCATGTCTCAGTGGAGGACAATCGCCAGCTGCCTCAGATTCTCCACAGATTCTCAAAAAAGATTCTCAACCAGCAGAAAGATAGCTCTGTATGTTCTGACATATCTGACATCTGAGGTTGCTGCTTCACTAAATTTGGTGCCAACAATAGCAAAGGGCATCGCGATGATCAAGATCTCAGCGATTCTTCAAGGCCATCGTGTTGTAGTTTCCAGTCCTCCTACACTTCTGGTTGGTGGTTAACCTACCCCTCTGAAAAATATGAGTTCGTCAGTTGGGATGATTATTCCCAATATATGGAAAAATGAAAAATGTTCCAAACCACCAACCAGACTTGAATCATCCTCATACTTCGGCAGAATATTCTTGAATGCACCCGTCAGAGGAAACTGAGGAGACAAAGGAAAAGTCTGCGTTGGTGGAAAAATACAATGATTGCAATGTGCCATGAGGAAACTGAGGAAACCGATGGACCACCTGTAGGAGCATGTAGAAGGCATGTTCACTACACAGTTCAGAAAAGCTCACTGCTAAAGCGAATGCTTGAGCTTCTCACGCCAGTCACCATAGCAAATCCAGCTACCACCACTGAAGACCAGTGCTTCGGCACAATATCACCTGCAAGTGGTGACGCACATGAAACTGATAAAAAGACAAAAATCATCCAAATAAGGTATGACTCTATGACTAACTGATTTGAATTGCAGTTTTCTATGAACAGTGTAAATTTAGCAAAGCGAAGTTTGGTTCAAAAACGATGTCAACACATTCGGATTGCACAGCCCATGCAGCCCGCACCATATCCAACCGTGGTCATGGTGACCTTATGCCGGATGGTGATAATCACAGCACCCAACTCATCTGCCATGGCCGTTGCGAAAAACTGAGGTTGAAACAGCTGCCCACCACCTCGACATCAAATGGACGGGCTTGCTGGGTTGCTGATGGTCGGAATCTCAACACTGTTAACATTTTGAGAAATATCTTCCTTCACAGAGATGACTTTGATATCCGAAAGTTGGGGTTCCTCGGGTTCCTTCCTTCGTCGAACTGAGACTAGGACATTCCCGTTAGCACTGAGTCGATTTCAGCATCATTTAGTGCCTCCACCTTGGAAAATGGCGCCAGCTGGCACCAGAAACTGCAGGGAAATTGATCTCAGTGTTCCGTAAATTTCAAGAGCAGCTTCAACAAAAACAGAAAGAAACACAAGAAAAACAACAAATCCAGAAATGTTCCCAGAAATCATCCAGAAATCGGAAAGGGCGCCTTCCATTCCACAGCCATTCGTCGCCCGAAGGTGATGGTGGAGTCCTGGCAAAAATCGGCAGAGAAGTCACCAATCGCTGCGCCCATTGAATCAGCCCGGTGTCCTCTAGCCATGGCCGACAAAGGGGGAAGTCCGACAGGCCATCGGGGATGTCACACATGAAAATACCTCGACATATGGCAACATCTACCGCGACATCTACCGCAATAGATTTGGGTGTTTCCATACATGGAGGATCCCCAATAGCTGGATGGTTTATAGTGGAAAATCCTATGAAAAATGGATGATTTAGGGGGACCCCCGTGTATGGAAACCCCATTTATGGCTCTATGGCTCCATTTATGGCAGCTAGGGCATGGGCAGCAAGTGCCGTAAGTCTCCGAAATGCCCTGGGTAGTGGCAACGCACTCATCATTGTAGCCTTGGAACCTGAAATTCCACGAAACACCACAACGAAACACAGCACTGGCCACAAAAATCTCAAATCTTTCAGGACTTTCGGGGACTTCCGGGGACTTCCGGGGACTTGGCTGGGTGAGGTTCATGCTGCTGAAGTCAGGACCTGCCATGCAATCTGAAGAGGGATCTTCATTCGCTGAACTCCGAATCTTTGATGCGAATGCATCAGTTTCTCTCATGGATCCGTTCATTCTCTTTGACCAAAACGGACTCAGCTTCTGACATGACAACTTTTCAGTGAAGTAGATAATAGATGCAAATATGATCGAGCCTGTGAGCGGAAAAGACTGAAATCTATGGCACGCTAGGAACGGGATTGGACATGAACACAGCTAACACAGCTAGCTAACGCAATAACTGACATATACACATAACTCACATATAACTGACACGTTTCTGTGACATAACTGGCATAACTCACTGAGTTTCAAACCAATCACGAACAAAAAGACCAATATGTACAACGCTGACCTGGCTAAATCATCATCACAGAGGAGTTGATGCTGACTCCAACTGCGTTTCTGAACTGAGAGGCTGACAGACTGTTAAACAGTGCCGCGTTCATCACCCGAACGCCTCAAGAAATGCGGCAGATCTGCCAGAGATGTTCTGCGTTAAGGGGAAAAATGGCAGAAATTTCTGAGTCTTTTGGCCCTCGGAGTAGCGACCTATCTTGAATAGGCGGACCACCTCAGTGACTAATTGATGATCAAATGGCAATAGGTTCCCATGGATCCCATGGATATCATAGATTTCAATAGAAAAACGTGCTTTTAATGTTGAGATTCAAAGAAACCTCAAGTGTTGTGACGTTTTGCTTTGATACATCATGTTTCGACAAATTTCGAAGTAGTTTGGACTTTGAAAGCAAGGCAGTTGTGCACCCAGCCCGTAGGACGCGTAGGAATTCAAGATCCCATTGTCTCACCTGCAGAATCGGCAAATCTGGAGCCGTGAGATCTATTGAGATCTGCTACCACTGCACCACTCAGTTCCCAACGACGAATTCTGCATAGACAGGAATAATCGCCTCAGCACCAGGTCTTGAAATTTACTCGCCCTGGGTCCTCCCTGGGTCCTCAAGGTCCTCAAAGGTCCTCAAACTTCCAACTTAGACACGTATGTCCCGTATGTCTTGCCGCATATCCCATGATTCGAGACCAAATATCCTGTTCGTTGCAGTTGTGATACAGTTTCCTCCAGTTTCTCCCAATTTTTCTGGCAGTTTGAGGCTGGAACTAAAAGGTCACAAACATTCAACGGCCTCAATGGCTCTCAAATGGAGAGATCTCCATGAGAGAGACTGATTTCTGCGAAGCACTGGGTACTGAGATCATGGCTTGAAAAACCAATCCACAGCAGACGATCCATAAACATCACAAACCTCAGCGATTTACGGCGACTTCCTGGTGTTGCATGTGGAAACACAGGAAGAGGAAGATCAGGAAGGGTACCCAAAGTCTCATGAGGTACTCCACAGTGAAACAGCCTGCACATCTTCATGGTCATATTGAGTCATCACATCTATGATCATCTAAGATATGCATAAAGATACTGAGATGGGGATGGGTCAAAACCCTGGTACCTAGTGAACCCCAAAATAGCTGGTAAATGGATGTTCATCCCACTAAAAATGTATCTATAGGTATTGACCCATACCCAGATTTTGATAGAGATTTTTGATAGACTCTGATAGGTCCCTCCTGTGGTGAGGATTTCGATGGTCTGCCACATGTCCTGGAATCGACGGAGTTCAAGTCATCAGTTCCATCATAATCATCATATTCCTCTCATCGGAATTCAACGAATGTTATCATGTTCAGATCCTTGCAGATCATATCTTCATCACTTTTCTATGGTTTAGATATGTTTAGATGGTTTACATGCCAAAAAACCATGATTTTTCGTTGGTTGCTCCACATGTGTCATACAGGAACAAATAGCATGGCTATTCACCTGCCAGACCCATCATGGCTCGGGTGAAATGGTGGCCTCAGAGGTCGTCTTCTTGAACCTCGAACGGACCAGTCCAGCATGGAGAAGGTGCTGGAGAATCGAACGAATCTTCGAAACATGTCGAAACGCAAAAGTCACCTCAGTGTCACCTCAGTCCCAGACTCGGGGCTTGTTTCTAAAATCAAGCTCACTAAACTCAGCAAGATCATCAGGACATTGAAGCACGCCTCAGCTGTCAGCTTTCAGCTTTCATGGTTTGAGTCTACCAGTCCTGTTCTCTCATGCTGCAGCTGCTGCGCACAAAAATCTCGGCCAATTAATTGAGATGGCAACTACACCCACGGTGAGGACTCTGGGCACATCAGAACCTCGAATCCAATCAAATCACTCAAACTTACCAATATTTATCAATATCTGACCAACACTTATCAATATCTTAATATCTTACCAATACTTACCAATATCTTACCAATATGTATCAATATGTCATCAATATTCAAGTCAAAATATGTACTAAAATACTCCACAAAAACTTCAATTTCCGAATTTCCGAGATCCCATCTGGCATCTGGTTCCTCCAGGATCCAGTATAGTGACCTTCGAATCCTTGGCGTGTGAGAAAACTCACTGTGATTTCCCCATGGTTAACTTTTCGGCACTGAGTCATAGTCAAAACTGATCAAAACTGCAGATTGAAAATATGGATGTTAGTCTAGTTTAGTATTAACCATCCAATTATTGGGATACCTAATTTTGACCCATACCCATATATGAACATATTCACAATCACGAATCAAGAGCAACATAGAGTAACCTAGCAATTCTAGCGATTCGAGCGTTGACCGATTTGTCAACGGAGATTTCCGAGTGCCCTGCTCCTGCACACTTTCAGGATAGACAGACGACTCTTGCCTGGACATGGCGCGCTGCGACTCACAATTTCATGGCCGTTTCCATCATTTTCGACATCATTCTGGACATGTTTTTTGACATGTTTTTTGCCTGCGGCTGTGCCGTAACTCCCGAAGGTGGTGCCCAAAATGCTTCGGCATTAGCACGACCTGAAGCTGAGGCACCGAATCCCACGAAACGTGGGAAAAAACAAAAACAAAACAAAAAAAGTCGCCTCAAATTCTGGTTCATCTGGTTCATCTGGTTCCCATAAAATTCGATTGCTTCATTCAATTCCATGCCACAAATCTGAAGGTCACTTGAAGGTTGATCATCCGTGAGAGGTGGCGGATGCTTGTCTGCTCATGGTCAGCGAGCTTCTGAGGCAAGAGCGTCAAATCACAGGCCATGCCATGTCAGGCTAAGCCACAGGGCACAAACAAGCTAGATACAGCTAGATACAGCTTTGTGATTGTTGTGATTGTTGTGGTTGAGTCCAATTGTATCCATGACATCTGTTCTGACTGGGTCTCCATATGTTCGTCGGGAAAATGATGGAAAATGAGGCCAGTTCCACCCAGTTCCCAAGTAGCTTCATGAACCTGGCACCTTCGCTGCTTATGAGTGAAACAACCAAGCTGCGGAGTTGTCGACTTTTTCGACAGAGTTGGTTGACACGTGAGCAATGTGAGCAATCGAAATGGCAGCTGTTTCGCTTCCTTTGCTTCCTTTGCTTCCTTTGCTCTCTAGATCTCATGGCAGCTTCATGAAACCTCGAACACTCTTGCGCTTTTCCTCTCGGATGTTCACAGGGATGGCAAAGCTCGACTGTATCGCCGGATGTTGGAGACAAGAAAGGCTAGGAACGTAGTGGGATGTGGATGGATTTGTTCATGGCACAGCATGGGGGAAGAGCTTCATAGTTTCTAAATGTTTCTAATGTTTGTATCAACTGAAAGCATCTGAAAGCCATTTTGGAACTCATTCAACTGCTTCTTCAAGCGCTTGCATTTGAGCGAGTGCATCCCGCTCTGCTTCTTCTTCAAAAAAGGTTGGGTCCACTGCAGACCCAAACCATGGCCCACCGGAACCACTAGGACCACTGGGACTGGGAGCCTTGCAAGGCTCTTTGGCGCTTGCGGAGACATTCGTTGCGCCATCGTCGCCCGGGTCTCCCGGTGGGTCTCCCGGGTCTGGCGCTTCACCGTTGAGAGCACCCAGAGATCGCTTCGCGCCATGGCGCTCACAAATCTCCTCGGCTCCTGAGAGCTGAGTACTGTGCCACGAAGTTCCACGAAGCTAGGGCAGCTGGAAAACACAAAAGAAATCGAACAATAAAATGATTTTTATTGATTTTTATTGATTTTTATTGATTTTTATTGATTTTTGTTTCATGATTTTCCTACTTGCAACTCTTTTCGCCGTTTCTCGATGTTTCTCTTGTCACACAATAAAGGCACGCAAAGAATCTCTACCCTTCTCCTGTTCGGTCAGCACCTTTCTCCAGCAGAAGTCGCACAATGCTGACAGCATCGCATCGACACGCCAAGAGCAAAGGACTCAAACCATCAGGACCCGGTGCTTCTAAGTCGGCATTTTGCCTCAGCTAACTCAGCTACCAGCTGTCTCCCAACCACTGTGCTAAGACATTGGTTCTAAGTCATCAATTCTGTTTGATTATTGCCAATTATTGCCAATTATTGCCTTACCCCTGACTTTCTCAGGCAAAGCTTCCGAAGAAGATATCTCACAGCATCTTCTTGCTCTGTGATGACCGCTGCGTGCAGTGGTCGGCAACCGTCTTTGGGATCTGTTTCTTCGATATCTTCTCCATCTCTCCTTAGAAACGTCAGCTGTGCGAACTGCAAACTACTGGTTTTGGGAGAAAAGAACGAAAGGCCCTGACATGCAAAAGCACAAGATACATAGATATACACAGATGTACACAGATACAAGTACAAGAAGAGGTTTGCAGGATCTTGGAAGGCGTATTCCACGCTGAACTGTTTCTCAGCCTTTCTAAACTTTGGAGTTGTTTGCCTCCGCTTGTCTGTTTCTAGTTTCACATCATCTTTTTATATCCAACTCTCCTCATTGCAATCTTGAAGCATCTAAGAAATCTAAATCTAAGTGTGTGTTTCCTATGATGATTACGATGGTCTTGTCTTGATAGTTCTCCACGTTTTTTTCGCTCTCGCTTCCCTTTCAAAGTTTGGATGTCTCGGAGTTGCCCAGGTGAGCGTGAAAAGCATCAAATCCAACGCTGATCATGGAGGAGTTATGACGAGTTATGACGAGTTGCAAGCAGTCCATCAACTCATGGACATTGCCAAAGTAAGCCTCAGTTGCCAAAGTTCCGAAAAAGCTTTGAAAATTAATAAAATTGCAAAGAAATCAAAGGTGTCACAGTCTGTCACAGTCTGTCACAGATCACAGTTATCACAGTTCCATGTCGTCCATCTGTCTGTACAGCTGGAATTGGAATAGGGGATCTTTCCGAGTGGCTGCTGCGATCAAAGGAAACGCCATGGGCTCAAAGAGGTTGCATTTTCGTCACTTCCAAAATCCGAAATGGTGTGCAAAGGACAAAATCAGAAAATTTGGCAAATACTTGAACAGAGGGATTTGGGTAGAGTTTCTCTTAGCCACTTTCTGCAGAAGCTTTAAAAAAATTGATCAAAATGGAAGGAATAAAAAGAGATGGGCAGATTGTGAAACTCGACTCAGGGCTCCCAGTGATCCAATGTGATCCAATGATGGCTAAACGACTGGCAGCTTCCACCAGCGTTGCTGCAATCCGTTGCACTATGTTACTATGTTGCACTATCCCAGCCGAGCGATGCTCAGTAACCAACTCAGTAAGCCTGTCGGAGTAGCACAGCAAGACTTTTGATGTCGGATGATGTCGGATGATGTCGGATGATATGGTCTATCCATGTCCATCCCTTTGGGATTGGCTGAAAAACTTCACTTCTTGGAAGTGCCAAGTGACTCCCCGATTCGAGATCGAGAGTCAGAGAGTCAGAGCTTTGACAATTGCGATTCGCAAACTGGGCAAGCTGTGCTACACAGTGTGAGTGTGTCTGAATGTGTGTTGTTGTTTTTCTGTCCTCACGGGATTTTTTGATGAATTTCATGAAGTTTCTATCAGTGAAGATCAAGCTGTCGCTCTTTGATTCAAGCTGTCGCCGATGCTTCAAGGCACGCTGTGGTTCACACGTCCACTGTAGTACCAGGAACCTCCTGAGGCAAAGTTTTCGAGCGAATCTGGTCCAACGGTCCAAGGAATAGAGACGCGGACACGCCAGTGGAACGCCAGTGGAACGCCAGTGGCACGCCAGTGGGGCCATAGCCACAAAAGAAAGTCTTATGGTCAGAGATTTTAAGCCATGGTCTTATTGTACTTTGATCTGACTCATACTTTGTTTTTATATGTTTTTATTGTCATGGCCAAGGCTTGTGCCTAGAAATGTCACTGCCAAGAGTCGTTTTGCAACACTGCCGGTGTGCTTCGGCTTGTCCATAGGGATGATTTCACTTGGGGACGCCTTGGTATGCAGAGTCTTCATTTCAATTTGTCAAAGTCATTCGCATGGTCCGATTCTCTTTGAGTATGCTGGTACAATGGTAATATGATGGTAATATGATGGTAATATGATGGTAATATGATGGTAATATGATGGTAATATGATGGTAATATGATGGTAATATGATGGTAATATGATGGTAATATGGATATATCATGGTAATATGTACAATATCTTTGTACAACTTTGTACAACCTTGTACACCTGTCAAGGATGTCAAGGTATGCTTCTGAGTCACGCATTGCCTTGCGAAGTAGACACCTCCAAACGACGGCAGCTGATGGCTTGCAAAATATCCAAAATATCAACATCATGAAGAATCAGCACGAGTACCACTTTCCAATTTTCTTGAAATATTTGAAATCCTCCCATTGAAATCTTTGGTGGATTCAAAAATTTCCTGTGGTCTTGCCAGAGAGTTCACATCCAAGTTCCCACCTTGCCAACAAGAATTTCCTCCAGGTCCGCTCTCAGCATTTGTCGATACCTCAGGTTTTTATCCAGTCCGTTCAGCAGATGTCAGTGTCAAGAACCCCCAAAAATCATGTAAAATGGTCACAATGGATGTTTATGAATATGGCCACAATGGATTATGGTCCAGATTTTTTTTTTCACTTCCTAACTAGATTAATAACTAGTATATACTGGTTAATATACAGAAAAAAACCCGCTACAATCACCAACATGATCTGGGGGAAATGCTCGTGTCAGTGAGTCAGACCTCAAAGAAACGGACTCCTCAGAACGGCCGAGTCTCTGAAGAACAAACCACTTCCGCAAGTCCACCATATCTTTGACGGTCGCTGTATTCGTGCCCCGGAACTGCAAAATCACCTGGCGGTGTAAAATGCTTTCGAAATGTGTTGATAACGAAAACACCAGAAAATATTAGAAAATATGAGAAAATAATGATGAACAGATGATTCAGGTGTGGATTTCGGGGTAGCCCCATAGGTTGCCTATGCGCAACATTTTGCATTTTTGCATCATGAGATGAACGGCTTGACCAAAGTCTCTGGCACTCGGCAGTAATACCAGTCCAATGACCATCTCATGTTTGAGTTTTGATCTGACATTGTACACTCCATAATTTGTGCCTTCATGTGAGCCATGTCTGTTTCCTCGAATTATGAACTGACCCTTCCCTAGGGTTCTGTTCTATCAACTACTATCAACTAATAGTATGATACAGTATGATCTATCACAGTCACAGCAGTTGCCCCCTTTGCCTCCCAAGGCATTGCATCTGAGTAGTTGCTAATTCTGAACTTTGTTCTGTCTGCGCTTTTGTTCTCTCTATCGCTGTAGATGGTTACGGTATGGGTTATTACAAGCCTGAGCTCACATGCGATCGAAAAACAATAAGGTGGCTTTTCCTGTCAATGGAGTTCCACTTTGAGATCGTAAAACTGTGAGATTGCTATCATCGCAACCATCGCATTTTTAATATCTTTATGGGGGAACTCCGTCCATGGTTCGATATGTTTGGCTGGGTCATTGCTCGTTTTCATTCGGGAATCTACTGGCATCCTGTGCTGAGATGCCTCCATGAAGTCAGAGAAAGAAAGCTCGGATGTCGAATCATCCTGCCCCTCCTGCACACTTTCACATGCTCTGCGACATTAAAAAAAGGTCAAGTTTGTCAAGTGCGCAGCTTTCCCCAAAGTTAGGAAAACCTATTGAAACCGCAAAAAACCGGGGCTTCTGCCCTGTCAAATCAGCAAAAAAGACACGGCACGTCGGGACGTTTGTTGAAAGTCCTCAAGGTTCTCGAATATGATGTCAGCAAACTCAATCCTGAAAGCTACAGCGTGATACTTAACAGGTGCCGCGGTCTGTAGCAACTAGAAGGAGACATGAAGCAACCATGCGAGCTGAGTATGTGGAATCATAGAGCTAGCCGCTTCGCTTTTTGGAGCGATGAGTCACAAGTTGGTTTTGCCAGGGACCGTGAACAGTTCTCCAGGTTCTCCAGGTTCTCCAAATAGCTTTGCAAATGTTCGTTTCTTTCTCTTTGGTTCTCATTTTGCAAGCGAAGTGGCAGAGTCAAGACGTCAACCCCGAGTGCCTTGGGGGAGTCGCAACTGGAGATAGATGTACCAAGAAGTACCAATCATATGGGAGGGTTCTTAAAATGGATCCCCAAGTCACCGTGGGTTTCAATACTAAAATGGTCTAATTTGGATTATTTGGGGGTACCCCCAATTTTAGGAAACCTCCATGTCTAATTCTCAGCATTTCTAGAAGATACTGCGAGTGCAGCAAGGCCATTTGAGATCTGTTGTCACACATTTTTATCAGTGCGCCTTCAAAGCTTTGACCGCATCTTTGTCCTTCGCGATTTGAAAAAACTCCTGCTTCTGCAACTTGCCGTCTTCGTTGGCATCACTTCCTGGGAGCAAAATGTTGGACCATGTGTGCTGACCTATGGCTGACCTATGGCACTATGGATGGATGATCAAACCTGGATCAAACCACCCAACAATCATCCGGTTTCACCCGAGGCTCCACCCATCATCCGCTTCAAGGTCTCCCTGACCCAAGTGATTTGGATGGCTTCTTTCTCTGCAGCTGCCACCGCAGTGATCACCTGGATGGCGTCACTTGGCTAAAAAGGCAGGCAGGCCCTAAACCCCGAAATACTGATAAAAACTTGATGATCTTTATGATATACATTGATATACTGATACCACACAGTGAAACATACTAATATTGATATATATTGATCATATTACATGACATGGATATGTTGTGGATATGTAATGATATGTATGTTTAGGAAATTGTAGGAACATGTCCAATGGGCTTCGTTGTACAAAATGTACAGTGCTCATCTTACCTATGTTCACAGCTCCGTCCTCGCAAATCACCCCGATAAGCATGTTGGTGATCGTGATGGCGGACAGAATCTAAGCTTCAAAAAGAACGAAGGCACGGTAAAGCACAGACAAACTGGGCCAAACTACAAACAGAACAAGATCAACACAGATCAACACAGAGACAGGGCTGGAAACTCTGCTAGTCATTCCTGGAATTGCAGAACCGTCTCACCCAAACTGCCTTGCAGTATCTCCACAAGAATCCGAGTGTCCGACCAAACCCTCCCTTGATCTGATCTGAGCATCTCACCAGGAATGCATACAGCAAAGCCAGTGCCAAGAACTGCTCTTGGACAATGAAATCGCTGACCCTGAGCGCCATCTTGGCGTTACAGTCAGCTTCTGCTTGAGATACAGTAGACTCAGTAGACTCAGTAGACTCAGTCGCAAGGCAATAGCGCTATGATTTGTTCAGATTGTTCTATTGATTCTATTGGCTCAAACGAGAGAAACTGGTCGCTCAAATCTAGCAGTCGAGTTCAAATCCCATCACGCAAGAGTAAATCACCGGAAATGAGCCACCACCAGTCTTGGCATAAGAACCTCCATTTCTCTTAGATAAGAGACCGCAAGAGCTCAGTTTCTCAAAATTTGAGACGTTAGATATGCATGTTATATCTATATATATATAATTATATAATAAACATAATATATACATAATATATATATATATACATATTATAATAAACATAATATATATATAATGTGTGAATTGTTTCCCCAATGCAGTCTGGCGGCAGTTCCGAGATCGAGTCCAAAAGAGTGGCATGAAGAAATAAACTCTGCATGGAGATGAGAACACCTGGATGCCAGGAGGAAACTGCCAGCTGAATGCTCAAGAAATGTGCAACTTGCAGCAACATATAATGCTTATATTTATACAGTAAAAATGGGAACGCAGCTCCACTCTTAATAGTGGCTTACATAGCCATAGTTATAGGATGTTGTAATTGTAGGGGTTATATCCCAACTTATGGAGCTTATTACCCCAGTTATACCCAGTTATAGTCACCCAGTCTGCCTCGGAAAGGCCCACCATCCTTGTCACTCCCAAGGTCGCTTCCTGCGAAATCTGCACCGGCCGATGCCCCGATGTCTACATCTATGGCTTGGTCCAAAAAAATGGAGGACCTGCCCCCCATTTTATGGTCATTTCTAGGGGAAAATCATGGAAAATCACGGGATTTTGCCATGGGTTCTATGGATGTTGCGTGGTTTCACCATGGTTCACCATGTTTCACCATGGCCCATAGGGCCCAGATGATCCACATCCATGGGCCTCTCAGCAACTGCGTAAATCCGATGCCGAAGACATAGAGAACGATGACCAGCAACAGCAGGGTGAAGCCCACAGATCGCATGGCAGCAGCAATGGCCTCCATGGAAAACTGAAGATCAGGTGAGCTCTGAGATTGAAGCAGCATGGCTAAAGGCATGTTGAGATGTCCAAAGAAATAGAGAATCTGTAGGTGTTTATGTTACTTTACGTTTTCACTGTCACTCCAAAGATGGACCTTCACCAGAATGAGAAGCTCTGGCACCATCCTCCTCAGTGATTGCACATGCAAGGTCGTTCCTAGGTTTTATATGGTTATTGCTTCAATGTCACACAATGGGACTGGAAATGGCAGCCAAATGGCAATAATCTGACCATCCGGAAGAGACGTGACAAGCGCATTAACCTTCCAGGCACCAGACAACTGGAGTTGCTCATGTCCAGTCGTTAGTCAGCACCAGCACCAGCCTTGCTAGTCGCAAGATTGATGCATTGCCCAGCAAACCACTGGTACTTCCTTCTCCAGTGAAGTATAAGACCAGTGTCATCACCCAGGTTTCCTGGCAAGCTCTGGGTCATGGCAAGGCATGAAATGCGAAATGGAAAAAAATGAAAAAAGGTCCACTGCACTTACGCGAAGCGAAAGATTCTGCCGAAGTTTTGAGGGAAGAGCTAGTGTTTCCTTGGGCAAACTCGCTGTGGCTAAGCTGTGCAGGATCACTGCAGACATGGCTCCAGAATCATGCTCACAACCAGCAGCAGGTCAAAGACAAACCAGGCGTCTCTGAGACAATTGAGTTTGTTCTGGAAAGCAAGGAAGCGAATTGCCTCGGCTAAAATTAGGATCCTGTCAGTGGCAACATTCGATTCAAAACGTTCAGGATGTTGATCTGGATGTAATTCTGGATGCAAATCTCTGTAAGTCTTTTTTCTTACTCAAGTTTTAATCAGTGTGTAATCAGTGTACCTCTCTGCTTAAAAAAATCTCCTACAGAGTCTGTCACAAATCTAGATATCCCGTTAAAGTCCATTAAATCCCATAATCATATACTAGAATTATCCCATAATATCAGCTGTCATATATCTTATATACATTTATATCCCATTATCCCATAATAGCTCTAGATATCTAGTGATATCCCAGAATCATATATCACTGCAGTCCATTAAATCCCATAATCATTGTATTTCCCACAGGATCGGTCAGCTTCAGGCACCAGCTCCACCGTGAAGAAGCTGCAAAAGATCTGCTCCGCCACAAAGAAGATGGGATCGGCCTCTGTGATCACTTCCTCAGAGTCTGAGAAAAATATCACCGGAAGTACATGGCAAACATATATTTCATATCTATATATATATATATATTATAAATACATATATATTATAAATACATATATAAATTATAAATACATATATAAGTTATAAATACATATATAAATTATAAATACATATATAATATTGCATTATATATATATAGGAAAATATATGAAACATTTAAATGATAGATATCACTGAGGAGTATGTTGATAGTTCAGCAAACACTTTGACGACGCACTTGAAGTCACTCGTCTGCAGTCCTTTCCATTGACACTTTTGTCCTCTTCAATTCCCGTTTATCTGCGCAAGCTGCGGCTTGATTCAGATCCGTATCGATAGCCATCCAAACAGCGTAGAGGCCAATGACACAGATTGTGATGTTATCAAACCTGGGCTTTTGCAAGCGAAGCGGAGATCATGACAATATTAATAACTAAATTAATATTAATATAATATTTCAAATTAATATCATCTTGTGACTTATGTCACTTGTCTCAGTTGTTTTCTGTCCACAGCACTCATCTTTCAGAGAACCAAAGCCCAATGCTTGTGATGCCGTTTTGCCAACAAACAGCTCCTGTGGTCAAGAACTGTGGTTGGACATTTCACAGAACGCTCCTCTGAACATGGGACGATGGGGCAATCGCCTTGAACATGCCTCTGGGGCATATAATATTGCAGCTTTGACATTGAAGCTATATGAAGCTATGAAGCAATCAAAGATGAATAGCGCAGTAAAATGTCAAGTGAAACAAAACATGTGACAGTGGCTGTGGCAGGAGACAACACTTTATTGACAGGACACACAAACACACGATTTTTATGCTGAAAATATTGCCATGCCGCCATGCCCCTGAACAGCGTGAAGAAAAAAACGTTGGGAACTCATTGACACATGATGAAACGAGTATGCCGCAGTATGCCAATATATCCAAAAGGCTGAAAATCCAATCAAGGACAGCTTTCCAGTAGTTTGAGCTGTTTGCAGCTCAGTGACCACGTATGACGTGCTATCCTCTGAAACAAGCCGCTTTGCTTGTAGAAGTTCTTGACGTCGTAACCTGAGTCCGACCGTAAAATCAGTGCAGATTGAACTCCATGGATTAGGAGCTGAGTGCAGGGCCCTTTTCTTTCATTAGCTCAGCGCGAACAGCCTGCGACAAGCTAAAGCCTCAGAAAAACCTACCAACAACATTTCTAGAAATTAATGGAAAAACGAGGTTATTTCTAAAATCCTGTGCTCTATCGTCATTTTTCCATATCCTCCTATGGAATTTGCAATGGGGTATCCAGTTTGAGATACACCCAAATTAAAGAAGGTAAAGAAACATTCACAAAACATGTCTTCGTCCATGGCTCTTCAAGCCGGATGCCGTGTAGGAGATCGGCCTGCTTCATGTCTGCAGAGTTCTGAAACATGGCCTGGCTGACTCAACTGACGCGCCGACTCCAAAATCGTGAAGCGAAAATTGCGACTGTGCCAATCTGGCATTATATGTTTTAATATGGTTTTCAGATGTTTTGTATATGTCGAAAATTACTGTTTTTATATGTTTGTATTTATTTTTCATGGCTCAGGCCTGCTGCATGTGGATGCTCTTCTTGCCACCTTCTACCTTCGCCCAGCTTCGGGGTCATTCAATGCCCTTTGGGTCGTGATATTTCTCGACTTTGAAAGAACTTTGCAGCTTTGAAAGAAGTCTTTGACTCCCTGCCTGCATGGTTTCCTCAAAGGAAACCTCCGGTATTCCTGAAAATACCGATAGGATCCGATGAACAAAACCAGCTGAAAACTGAAAATCATCACTAAAGGTCACCAAAGTTCAAAAAAAAATCATGAAACAGCGCTCAAAAATCTCAAAACTGACCCGGCTCCAGAAAGTTCTCGGGCATCTTGTGCATAGCTGGTGTGTGGGGTCTTCACCTGGCCGAAAAAAACGAACAAACGATCGCCTCTGTGGGAAATCCATACATAATCCATATAGAAACCATACACCATAATATATATATATGTGTATAATATATTATATATATATATATAATTATATATACTATATACATATTATACAGTACATAATCCATATATGATCCATCTGTGGGAATGGCTATCTCAAAAAATCCTGAAGATTAGCCGAAACCCAGTTCAGCCACGTCCTCACCTTGTCCTCAGGATCTCCTTGGCTGCAAATGTCCGGAATCTCACCATCACTGAGATAATTGAAATACAGATGTGGGGAATCTCACAACTCAAACCACAAATCCATGTGGGTTTGTCTCTAAAATCATGGATTGATTGTGATTTATCATACTTATTCTTGATCGATCATCTATCTAGAATATTCATGAATATCCATGATGAATATCTGAAGATCCATGAACATCCCATATTTCCGGTATTCTATGGTTATTGTGATAGAAAAATGATGAAGTCGGACCATCATTCCTCAGGTGTGGACCATCCTCTGATAGCTCGGAGTCCTGTACGACAGCGAGCTATGAGGCAGAAATATCCAGAAATACCCGGCCTGGTCAACATACAAAAAACTATGGAAAATCACCATGTTTCATGGGAAAATCCACTATAAATGGTGATTTTCCATAGTTTTTTGTATGTTTACCAGGCCGGGTAGCTTCCAAGTGGACTGTCGTGAAAGAATCCTGGTGAAACATCCATGAAAGATATGAAAGTCTAAAATGATTCAACGGAACGGAATCTCCTCTGTCGGAAGCACAGCAAAAAAAGCCGTCTTTGAAAACTCCTTGTCAGTGCCAAGTGCCAAGTGCCAAATCAGCCAGCGACTCAGCCATTGGGAACTGCAGACACTTTCGGCAGCTTCGGCAGCTTCAAAAACCATTCGGCAACCAGTTCCGTCCTGACGCACTCGCTTCTCCTCAAAGCAACTGTCCATAGGATATCATAGGATGATGTTTGATAGGAGCCAGGAAGGACACAAGAAAGACACAAAGTTTCCATGAAGTTTCCATGTGGCTTTCGTGGGTATCCTCCAATCCACACTCAAACAAAACCTCCGAGGCTGCCACTTGAATCTGACATCTCTCCTGGGCAATCTAAGCTTGTCAATGCTTGGAATGCATCAAGATGCAGCTATGGTCTCAAGAGATATCAAGAATGTGGAATGTGGCGCAAACAAACAACTCCTTGAGAATCTCATCGTCAAAGGAAGCCTTCTTGGGTACCTTGCGCCAAAGGTGCATCTTTCATTTTCCTGACCCATCCATGAAACCTGGTTGCGCTCAGTAAATGCGAGTCTCGTTTTCTCTCCCCAAAGCTGTCATGCTGAATTTGCTCTACTGATCAGAGCTCTGTACAGGCCATGGCGGTAAGTAGCCTCTTTTTGACTACGTCTTTCATCGTCTTTCAAAGACTTTTGATCTGCGAATTCGCCAACTTCAAACATGGGGCCGGAAAGATCGGTAAGCCATTGGTCAAAGGCTGTTCGGCCACCAATCTCTGGCGGCACATGCAGAAAGGATGGCCCAGTTGATGGCCCATTTCAAGTTGACCCAGTTGACCCCACAGGTCAACTTGAGAGTGCGGCTGGAAACATCACGACTCTGGCGCGTAGCACGTCAAATCCGCTTGCCCAAGTACCAGCACGACACCTTGCCAGCAGGATCGGAAGTGATATTTGGCAATATGATGCAATATTGGCATGCTGAATAAGCTTATCCGGCTAATCCATGATTTGGCTCCTGCACGTTGTTATTCGCATAGTGTGTTTGCCAAACTAAGGGCAGCAAATTGCAAGTGCACACAAACGTTTATCTAGGCGGCCTGCTTGAAGATTGGCTCGTACCTGCCACACTCCACCTGCACAAAAGCAACAGTTCGACCGTTTTGATGTTACAAGAAAGAACAACTAAATAAGTTTGAAAGAATTGGCTGCACAGATTCAAAGTGGCTCTCTGGAGATCAAAATGCAAAATGAGGAAAATCTGCAGAAGGGCCTCCCATGACTCGACGATGGCACAAATTGCGAAGAATTGAAATGGGATTCTCCCTGCGCTCTGCATGGCCGCAGGAGAAGTCCAAGAGATTCAAGTCGCAGCTGTAACCGCCACCTAAGGCTGGAACCATCCATGTCACACTCTGACATGTACAGAACAGCACCCAGAGACAGTTGTTGCATGTTTTTCCAAGTCCTTCCAAGTCCTCCGAGGAGCAAACGGCAGGGTTTTTCGATGGGAAACAGCGCCGAGCTGATGGAGGCATCGATGAGGCAGCCATCAGCATCAATTTCTCGGCCGCGCCAACACAGACCTGGCCAGCTGGCCAGGGCCGCTAAAAAGGGCGTTCTTCCAACACATTTCCACCAGCAGACACCAGCAGACACTACAACTTCACAGCAAAAAATAGAAGACAGATGAAGATGTGACTGGATTGGCTGTCCTCAACCGGTTCCATCTGTGATAGTCGTCTCGAAACTAGGCATTTGCTTGAATCGTTCCAAGCCTCCATCGTGCAAGTAATGCCAAATCTGCACTTTCTTCGGAAACACTGCGAGGAAAGTGTCAACCAATGGCAGACCCCGAACACGTTCAGGCATCCAATCCTCTCTGACATTTCAAGCGATCAGAATAGATGAGACTGGGATTGGAAGAAAAAATCCTCCACACTGCCATCGAAATCTATCCAAAACCCACCCAAAGAAGCAAAACAAACTGTTGAAATTTTGATCTTTTTTAAGGACATTGATTTGCAAGACACTGGTCCTGCGTTTCATCCAGGCTGCATAGAATCTGTTGCTCCTGGACCAAGAGAGCTACGGCGTGCTCTCGTTTGCCTCAGAGTTGCTGGGTGCTGTGTCAACGTCTTCGTGGATGATGAAGACAAAGATGTGAAAGAACACTAGTGTCACGCGAAATTCCAGGATGAAGATTGGGGGTGAATGATAAGTGCAGAATCCTAGCCACATAGCAACAGCGTGTCCCGCAGCACTTCCACGATTTGCATGGTGCCTGTCGGTAGGGCAGCCTGGCATCTGACAGCAAAAAACGAATGGCCAGCTCCATGAAATCTGCGCCAAAGCATTGGCAAATTCGGCATGTGAAGGCAATGTACCGCATATGTGAACACTCCCTGATTTCGTTGGCAGTAGCACTTCTCCCAGAATGATATGTTTATATATGTTTCTTTCCCTCGGCCTTGCCAACTACCATGCCATTGTCTGGGCTGAAGAAAGAGACGCGAGAGCCGGCAATTTGGGCGAAAGAACCTGAAGACGGCGCAATTTAGGGCAGCTTGCTCCAAGATGTTCCAAGATGTCAAGGCTGAAGGGATGAAACTGACAAAACTGACCTGTCTAAGCTCACCTTCTGACAGCATGTTTTAACTGTTTCTTCAGTTTGTTCTATTGGAGACAAACCAGCTTCAAAAGGAAGCCCAAAACATGGCCCCTGGGGCTGCATGATTTGACTCGGCCGCACCCAAAATGGCATTAGTGATTCCTCCTTCGCTCAGAAGCCAAGACCAAATCGCAGCTTTCTCAAGTTCGGCTCCTGCCAAGCCACCAGCGCATTTGGAAAACTGCTTGGTGGTTTTTCAACCCCTCTGAAAAATGATGGACTTCGTCAGTTGAGATGATGACATTCCCAGATGATTCCATATTATTCCCAATATGATGGGAAAAAAAATCCATTCATGTTCCAAACCACCAACCAGAAAAGCTGTCGGCTTCTGCTGTTTCTTCGACGTTTCCAGGTCGACGTTTCCAGGACCATCTCCGCCTCCTGGATGCGGAAGCGAGGCTGCAAGGTCTCATCATCCCAGCAGGAGATGTCAGACTCTTCCACCAGCCACAGACAATCCTGTTGCGCCAACACATTTGGGGCTTCTAAGCATTTCTAAGCCCCAAATTCTTCAAGAAGCAAGAAATCACTGCAAAATTCTGCAGAAATGATACAATTCTTTCAGTTCCTTTTCAGTTGACTCATCATATATCATCATATATCATCATATATATCACCATATCTTCCCAGGTTCAGTTTCTGCATATTTCACTGCGATCGCATTCTGAGACAGAGGCGTTCCATGTGTCGTGGACCAGGTCTCTGCCTCAAATCTCAAGAGTGTCACTGCCAGTGTCACCATGTCACCATGTCCGTGCTTGATTTCATGGGCACCATTGAGAATTGCCTGAACTAAGACAACTAAGAGAAAAACTGAAAAACGTCAACTTCCAACCATGCTTTGGTTGGAGTAAACAAAATGTTTACGAACGCGGATCGTCAAAGCCATGTCACTTTCAGTCTCCCGCAGTTGGCAATCCCGTTCTTGCCGTTCACCTCTTTGCATTGCTTGAACCTCCAAGATACGAACCTTTGCTCAGAGGAGAAAACCAACCAGCAGTCAAACTTAAAAATGAAGCTGTCATGAAAGATATGAAAGTAGGGATTGAGGCCCCGCAAAACCAAAGATGCCAAGACACACGGCAAAAGGGGCTGATTGGATCTACACCATCCATCCTCCGACCCACAGTGTAGTAGACCAGAACAACGCCGCTCTTTCTGAGGTGTAGCCTCCGGCAACGGCTCACAGCGGTGGCACACAGACAGAGCAAATAACGAGTTCTGTGGAGCCAGGAGACACTTTGACGATCTTCTCCATTGCCAAGACTCGAAGACCCATGAGCCTCAGTGGTTCTTTCATAGTCTTTCATCCCTGTTACCCTGCACAACTTGTAACATCTTGTAACAAAGTTCACTTGATGAGGTGCATCAAGATGTATCAAGATGCATCAAGATGCATCAAGATGCATCAAGATGCATCAAGATGTATCAAGTTCACTTAGTTCACTTAGTTCACTTTTCCAGCTTCCCGGTATCTCAGTGGACTTTCTGAGGTCCTGACCATTGGAGAGTCGAGTCCGTGCCCGTCCCGGTAACCTGCCACACTTCCGCGTCGCAATGTAGCATCACGCAGACAACCTCGGCAGCCCAGGCCAGGGGAAAATTTCGGAAACTCCATGGGGAAAATTTTGGGGGCCTGCAGGGCTGTGAATCCTGTGAATGTCGCCTATAGACCCCACAGTGTCGCTGCTTGCGCGCCAGAGTCCTTCATGGTCCACTGCTTAGACGACTTGTCGACAAGTCTTGGGACTCGAACGTCAGGCCCCAGAAGCAGAAGCTTCCTGATCTGCCGACTGCCTTGAAACTGTTTGCCGAAATTGGGGAAGGACCACCTGCAACAAGCACTGCAAAAAAGCACTGCAACAAAGCACTGCAACAAGCACCACTCTGCACAGCTTGACTTTCACGCAAAGTGGGAAGGTTGTCCTACGTTGTGCATTGCATGGCTGTGGCTGCCTTCGTGTCAGCCGCAGACAGTTGAGGTGGGCAGGTGAGAAGGCAGGAGTTGCACCGCATCTGCGCATCTCCAGCTTCTGGAAGACGTTCATTGCCCAGCTGCGTCAGATGGGAACCTAACACACCACCTTTTCAAACGAGGGACCAAGTCTTATTTGGTTCCACATCAGACCTTGGCTGTAGAATTGCCTGGAACTTTGTGTCTATACGCTGTTGAGGATTGTCCAACATTGTGTCGACATTCTGCAACTGCAGCCGTTTGGGCACGGGGCAGTACGAGCCAAATCGCTGTGGCGTTTGAATCTGTAGAGCCATGGAATGCCATGGATCTGGACATCAATGCAGAGACTCTTGCCGTGCCAGCAGAGGTGTCAGCAGGCCTTGCCGTCCCTTTGACCGTCCTCTTTCAAACGTTCATTTTCAGCCTTGGCCAACAATATCAACAATCCTTATGCTCTCAACATATCTCAACATTCCAACATGTTCCAACCTTTTCCAATGTCAAAGCAGAAAAGATCTCCAAGTTGCCAGTAGTCGGTCGTACTCCTGGACTACAGCAGCAACCTCAGTGGACGGAGCTCACCAAAACATCTGGTGCTTGGCTGAAGAACCAACTTTAATAGATATGATATGTGGATAGAAATCTGCGTTAAGGACAAAACATCATGAATTCAACAGATTTCACGTGGGGATAGGTAACAGATATGGAAAAATCATGAAAAATCCATGTATAACTCTATAATACTGAGTTTAGTACTGAGATTAATACTGTGTAACTCATTCTTGAAGGACCATTTATCATCATAAATATCGATGTTCATCAACAAATTTCCAACGATTTCACAACCTCACCTGGGCCAGGAATGGCTCCAAGCACGTTGACCGCGAGGACCTCATCTGTCACACAGCCCGGCAAATTCTATTGGAATGTATGTCACATGTATGTCATCTATGATTTGTTTAGGACATTTATGACATTTTTATGACATGTTTATGACATTTATGACATTTATGACATTTAAGACATGTTTATGACATTTATGACATTTATGACATGTTTATGACATTTACAACGTGACTTTTATGATGTTTGTTGATGGTTGTTATCTCAATTGTATCACTTGTTCAGCAAAGAACATCCGTGATATCAACTTGCCGATTGCTCGAGTGTTTCATCGCCTGTGGCCTTCTGTACCTGAAAGTTGCAGAGTCATGAGAGGCAAACGACATTGGCTGCCGGAATGAGGCGGAATGAGGCGTAATGAGGCGGAAAGTGGAGTCTGCTGTGTGTTCAATCTCCGCAGTTGTATTACCTTCTCTTTCTCACGTTGAAATGGGAGGAAAAGTGAAGCCTTTACTGTCTTTTCTATACTGCCATATGATCCATATGCTGCCTGGCCTTTCCATCATTTCCATCGCCGATATCAAGGGGCTAACATGTCGCTATCTGTTCAGGCCATGTTTTGAACATCTCTGAACAATAAATCAACGCTTGAGCCGGAAGTTCAGCCAGCCTTCAATACTCTGGTCAACACGACGAATTGAGGAAACCAGATTAAAGCAACAACCCATGTCAGTCTGATGCAATTCGGACTTTGATCTCTTCAAGTTTTTCTCAACCAATTTTGTTTGCAGCTTTTCGGCCAAGTAATTGATCCATTTGTGACCTCAGTCGGGTGAAAATGAGTCGCTGCACTTGGAAGCCATAAACATCATAAACCGCAAGCTGTATCGAGCTGTAAGGCAAGTGGCGCCAGTTTCGCTTTGTCCATGTGTTTCCAAGCCTTTGGCAGTGCAAAAATCCGCAAATCCATGCAAAGCCGATCAAATCGGAATGAAAATTCATGGAAATCCGATCGGTTTTTCATTTCTCTGGTTGCATCCAGGGGGCCAATTTCCGCAAGAATAAGTCACCGCCGAACAGCTCCGGATTGGCAGTCATCTTTTCCGCATTAGCAAGAACCTTCCTGAGTTGGACTTCGATGCAAACAAGAAAGAGGTGCAGCCACTGACTCCTTGTGCAGGCAAGCTCACACAAAAAAAACATCGTTTGACTCTATGCGCCATGTCTCTCTGCCATGGTCCAATTTGAAGGCACAAGAACTCTGAGATCAGGTGGCGCCAAATGACACAAAGCTGCCAAAGTTGCCAGAGCCTGAAACCGTTGAACCATGTTGAACCCTCCAAAAACTGTGCCATCACTGTGCCGTCACTGTGCCTTGCATTGCTGCTGGAAACCTGATTGATGTAGCGATCCCATCAGGGCCTTGACAGACAGACAAAATGAGGCGACAGGACATGGGTTTGATTCCTCATTCACTCGATCAACATAAATGAAAACGAAAAATGATGCAACAATGAAGAGAAAACACAGGAAAGAAACGGCTCAGTCAAACGTGGTTTCTTTGAACTTAAATATGGATCATGAACTGATGGCACGTCACCAAGTGCGCGGCCCTGTCTCTTGCCAGCTGGACAATCTGGTTTGTGTTTTCGATGCCAACGCAATGTGCAATTGAAGCGCCAATTGCTCTTGTCACCCAATTCAGGTTGTGACAACTTGGACAACCAATATATATATATATATACATTTATTTATTTGTTTATTTATTTACTAATCCCAACACACTTCTGGAGGTGGCGGATGAATATACACATATATATATATACATTTATTTTTTTATTTCTTCATTTATTTATTCATTTCAAAAAACAAATAAATAAAATGAAAATTAATAAATAAGTAAACAAATAACTTTAAAAAAAATACAAAAATAAGTAATAAAAAAAGAAATAAATAAATAAATAAATAAATAAATAAATAAATAGCACCATGCTCTCTGCAGCCTGGCCGGGGCAGGGGCAAGAATGCGGCGGGGCTAAAAAATGGAACACGAATCTGAACAGGGATGTGACCTGAATAGAGGTGTATATATATATTTTTTGAAAAGCGTGCATATGTGTGAATGCAAATGCTGAATGCAGTTTATATACATATACATATATACATATATACATATATACATATATATATATATACATATATATATATATATATCGCACAGGTGCCAAAACAAAAGCTGGAACCTCTAGAGGCCCGGTCTGATCCAAGAAGCATTGCTGATGGGATCGGGACGGTGATCCTCCTTGACTTGGCGCTTTGCCTTCTTCCCCACAGAAGGGACTGCAAAATGAGACACCTTTTTCCACAACGCGCTTGCAACACTGAGTCAAAGTCACACGTCTGCTTCCGGACAGCCTGGCTCTGGAAGTGATAGAATGCCCGCCATGTTTGGTCAAAATTCCTTGGCAGACAAGGTGTATAATATGGCACATGCCAATCCTCCACAACAGACATCCCTGTCTACATAAAAACATATATATATATGTACAGAAAAGAAAGAAAAGAAAAGAAAAGAAAAGAGCCCCAAAAAAACTATATATATATGTATATTACATATATATATAATATCTATATATATATGTAATATATATATATATGTAATATATATATATGTAATATATATATATAAATCACCGCCAAGGATCAAGACCATTCCCCAATGTGCCCCTTGCTCCTCTACCTGCTTCCGTACTTCACATCGAGCCTGTATCATCCTGGGGTCACTACAAGAAAGGAAGTTGCCCTGGGTGTTTGTCCTGCATTTGGCATTGTTGAAGAATCTCTGGAAGCGCTTTGTGGTAGAGTTTGATGGTTTCCAACTGCTGATCCTTGGGTGGCTTTTTGACTTTCTGCTTCAATTTCTTCAATGCTTTGTAGACCTTGCGGTTGGCCACCTGCTTCTCCGTGGCCTTGCGCTGCTGGTGCCGCTCATCATCCGGTTCATCATTTGATTCACTTTTTTTCCTCCTGTGGTGACGGAAACACTTCTTCCTTGAATGCATTCCAAGCCTTCTGGTTGTCCTATTCCACGGTCTTCCGAAGCTTTGCTGCGCTCTCATTGTACGTATCCATTGCACGAACCATGGACCGCTTCAACTTGGCTGCTCCTTGCGAAGCATCTGCCCGTTTGGTGGCAGCTGCATTTCCTGCTGTGCACGCCTTCTGCGCACGATCAACTGTTTCTGCGACACTTCTGGGCATACCAGCGATGGTGTCCCGAGCTTTCCTTGGAAGATCCAACTTGTGGAGGTCAATCCACCAATTGGGTATGTTCCTAGTCTTTCTGGCCACAGAGGGTTCCATGAGCCACAATTTGAAGCGGAAATACTTCCGCGTCCACTTTGACAGAACATTGCTCCGCAGAATTGGGATCGTGCTTTCTTTTGCTTGGGTACACCAGGCCCAAGCGACAACGAACATTCCACCACCTGAATGAGGCCTGAGAAGCGGGGAGTCACCACACTTGCGTTCATATGCAGAGTTGTCGGCTGGTGTTGGCTCAGCGCTGTTGCCCTGGCTGTCTCTGACCACAATTTCTCCTTGCTCTGGATTGACACTGTCCGCAATCACTGCCTGACAATCTCCGTCCTCAACAGGTTGTAGCTGCTTCTCATCTGGAAAAAGGCCATTGACAACTACATCCCCATCTTCGGCCCCGACAATGCCAGAGATATGTTTGACGATGCATCGCATTTTTTTGCGGGGTGATTGAAGACGGTGAACACTTCCATTGCCATACGGTCTTCTCATCTTCTGCTCATGAACTTGCGCCAATCGAGTGCTCCAAGCCAGGACCTAACGCATGCACTGGTCGACAAGGATGGCACACACTTGGGAAGCTATAATATATATATATACACACATATACAAGACTCGTGATAAATAAACGAATATACAAATGAATAAATATATATATGTATATATATATATTCACCCAGAATGAATAAACAATTTGATATTATATGTATATATATATATTTAGATGCCGAAAGATGGCTCATAATAAGCTGTGTTGCTTGCAGCAACCCACTGAAAATCAGCCATGGGACCTTGGTGAACAAAGAAAGAACTTTGGCAGCAAAAACCATCACATTCTGGGTGTTTGCACTGTCAACTGAGTAGGGTTCCAGGTCGAACAGGAAGTGGCGAATATCATCCGGCTTCTGCCCGTGTTCAGACAGCCACTGCAGAAATTCTTCAGCCTGCTCAGGAGAAACCAGCAAAGGTAAAGATTGTTCAGTCCGTAGGCGGATCTGGGCACACAGCGTCCTGCATCTCATAGTGCGCAAGGCATCAGCAGCATCTTGTCATTGTCCTGGCTGCGCTGGCTTCGCCTCTCCAGCTTGCCATTGGGGAAATGCTTTGAGGCATTCGCGGACACTTGGCTCAACTGCTGCGCAGCTGCGGAGACGCACGACAATGTCACCGTCCATTTTTGAATCTGCAGGCTTGGCAGCCATGTTCTCCATGATCATGATAGCGGCCTGGATATAATCGGCATCTTTGACTGGGCAAATCATCATGCTGAATGTAGCTCTCTCCTACGCCCAGCTTTTGCACCTTCTGATGTGCTTCTTGGTCCAGTTCTACCATGTTTTTTCAATATCTTTTTTCAACTGTACCCTGCAAATACGGTCTTTCACAAGCCAGAACCCAG